TCTACCACAAATTTCGACTTTCTACGCAAAAAACAAGATTTCTTGTGTGGGAAAAATATGGAGTTTCCTCTTTTTGAATGTTGAAAATTCCAAAAAAATCTCGAATTGTTTTCTTCGATTAATCATAACACAACTCTAACCAACCAAATCGTAAACGCTATGACGAACCGTACCTAGATTACTAGACTTCCGCTTTTTTTTTTTTTTTATACAGACGAATCGATTATAATTGATTTGTTCGACACTATGAAACGGCGCAAAACGCTGCTGAACGTAACGGTCCCCGGTATTGTCGCGGGTCACATATATTGCGATTTAGGAAATAAGAATGCCGTTTTTAAAATATTATCATGTTTGCGTTCTGTCAAGACGTCTCGGCTGCTCGTGTCTATAAGTGAAGCCTTTTGAAAAGCTCATGCGACAGCGGCGGCCGACAGAGATAGATCGATACGGTCGCGTCGAGTGCGTACACACATACACACACAATATATATATATATACCTACTATTGCTGTCCGTGCGGCCTTTGCCCCTCCCCTCACCTGTTGTCCCGTCGTCCATCCCTGTCGTGTGCCACATGTACTGTACGACGTACACCCCTAAGCGCCAGCGACCCCACTCCCGAGACCGTCCCCGTCCTACCCTTCTGTCCGCGACGAAGGTCGACGAACCAGACGTCCCGTATCGATCCTCATCACCACCCGGGACACCCCGCCGCAGACGACTTGACCTGCCCAACACGCACACACTTTGCACACGTTGTTAAGCCCCCAGACAAACCGCTGCCCGCTGACTCTGGTAAAAATCCACTACCCCGTGTCCGCGCTCTATTTTGGTATTTTCGGCACCGGGCAAATGGGCGGATGTTCGTACGTACCTACGTGTTTGCGAGTGCAAGCCAACACGACGCATAGTGGTGGAGGGTAGGTCCTGGATTTTGGGGTATTGTGGTGGTGAACCATTGGGTGGGGGGGGAGGGTTTTCAGTCTAGACGGTGTCGACGAACTCTCATTTATCAGTCTACTGCGCCACTGCCGCCGTCGCCGCCACCCCCCCCCCCACCTCCACCACCAATCGCCGAATCATAAATGTGCTTGCTCTCAAAAAGACTAAAAAAAAAAAAACCTAAATAATAATAATAAATATACGCGTGTTCCGTTCCCTTGATATTACCACGGTGGATACACACACACACACTGGATATTCCGAAATAGACGTGCCAGCGTCATCGTATCCCGTTTATTTGTGTTATTATTTTTACAGGGCGAGGACCAAGAGAATATTTCGTTTTTAGGTCAACACACAACAGCTCCTTGTCGTCGTCCTACCTCAACAACCGTCTGCCGCCGCCACCACCGCCGCCGTTGCCACCGGGTTTTATTGTATCTACTTAATTAAAACGTTTTCCGCTTGTTTTGTTACTACCGCGCCACCACCGTCCCGTCCCGGCTTCCTTATGCGCCAGTTGTTTTGTATTCTAAACAAACTACGGATTTTATTTTATAACTCCTTAGTTTATTGTCGTTGCGAAAAATACTGGCAAACGTTGCACAAACAAACGGTATACACCTGCGTACCTTTAAACCCTACTTACGTCCGGCCCGCACCTCACCCCAGGGATAAAGCTCTATTTATTGGGATAAAGTGCTACCTATGCTTGCGTTCTAAAAGTATGTGTGCACGACCGGGAAGTTTGAGCTACTAAAAATACAATTTTATCCGCGCTCGCTTGTGCTGGTTATACTGACATTTTAGTATGGTGCAAAAACAAAGGCGAGTAATAATTTTACAACACCACGTAAAACCCCTTTAAAGAATCTTCAGCCCTCGAGCCGATGGGTTTAGCACATCAGACATAATCGTTTTGGACGTTAATGTCATTTACTGTTGTTCTCCTTCCCCGAATTCTCCTGCGAGCGTAGAACCCGTAATGAACTTAAAAATGTAATAAATTTAATAGTTATTGAATCGTCCTCCGGGCAGGGTTTTCACAGATTTGCATATTTTAAACGCCTTAACTGAACAAGTATAAATTATTATTATAATACCAAAAATAAACTCTCCGATTCGTAGCGCCAAAACTCAAAACGCTGTAGGTTCTTATTAAAAACTAACATAAAACCTGGCGTTTATGCTAATGTTTGCCGACTATTTTATAACATACGAAAAGGTTTAACAAACATACTTAATTATACGAAAACACCGTATATACTATATTATATAGAATTAACTGTACCTATAGTTGATTTTGCAGTTTTAATTATTTAAAACATTAGATCTAAAAACGACCTCAACATATAATATATACTTTTAAAGCTGTTTCGTGTATTACTTTTAATATTAACTTTGCGTTTTAAGTTTTTTAAAAAAAAATCGGTAACAGTATGCTGTTTTTTAATATTAAATAATGGATAAAAGTTAAAACCATCAAACTGCAATGTGAAAAGTTTTGTACGTATGTACATCTAAAATAATTTTGTTTAAAAATACTGGAATAATTTACTTTTGGCAAATAATAGGTATAACCGTGCGTCATCACTCATCGTTACTGATAAACCGTTTTTTTTAGTCGCGTCGCTGTTGCTTTGTGATAGATAATATGCACATTTTTTTAGTATTTCATTAGCCGCAAAAATACTTAGGTAGCCCCTGCAAAAGGATATAAATTATAATCCTTCTACAATATTTATTAGACATAATTTAGATAATTTGGGCATGCTGAAAATAAGAAACATTCATAAAATAGTTAAACGGATAAAAAGAAATAACTTTGGAGGTAACTTAATAAAGACATAAATTAAATAGGGTTAAGCGGGTGGATTTTTTAAATAAAGATATGGAGATATGTGGAAGTAGATAATGAAATGTTAATGAATAGTCAGTAGACAAAGCAGGTGAGAGGCTGGACCAACCCAGTTGAAAATAGGATAAGGCGACGAAGTAGAAAAAAAAAACACTAGTGGGATATATTTTTCGCCAGTGATAATGAAAAACATTGATATGTTAAAATGCTACACAAATAACAATTACTGTAGTTAATGACTGATGTAGTATATGTATGTACATAATATATTATAATTTATATTATTATTATAGCAACCAGTAGCCACTTAAGTTGAACCACTTACGTTTCGCGGTAAACGGGTTATGTATAGACTACCACATTACTTATTAACAATGGTAAAATTGTGTGATTGCTTTTCTTCTGCAGCAGTGGTTATGCACAACCACGCCCTGGAGTCACGTACCTAGTCGTTAAAGGGTTACACAAAAATATGTTGGGATAGGTTGTATGATACAGAAAGTTCACGTTCGCATGTAACACGCATGCTTTTACACGATTAACACAAAAATTATATTTTTTAAAAGGAAAAATTATTAAATTTCACAAAAACGCTTATGCATAATATTACATAAGTATCGATAATAGAAGTCTATCAACTTGTGAACAGATTTTAAAAATAAAATTAGGCAGTACTGCTAGTTATGGGTTATCCCTCTCCCCTAGTCTTTTTTATCTGATTAAATGGACGTCAAAACGTAATTCAGCATCTAGTTAAATATTAAAACTTATCTTAAGTAACTTAAGTCTTCACTGACTTCTATATAACAAATATTATCTAAATACATCATACTCAACCTTATTTTTTTAATAAATCGGTTTATTGATCCTGAATTTATATAAATATATATACAGGGTGTAATATAAAGCTCTACCGAGCTACAAATGAGACATTCAGGATGCTCTATGGGTACAATAAATGGTATTAATTTTTTTTAAATTTAAAATAGAACTCGTATCTCATTAAAAAATGGTCTTACGAAAAAAATAATTTCAGATTTGAAATCAGGAGAAAAAATCTTGTTGAATTGATATGTAACATGATTTTTTGGTATCTGGCCACACTTGCGTCCACCGAGTGGCCGGCATGTGACTAAACCCATCATATGGCATGCGACACATCATTTAATATAAAATAATTCTAAGGACACCACTTAATTAAGAATAAAATCCTAACCCAAAATGATGTGTCACATGTCGGTTTTGGTCACATGCCGGCCACTCAGTGGCCACTCGGTGAACGCAAGTGTGACCAGATACCAAAAAATCATGTTACATATCAATTCAACAAGATTTTTTCTCCTGATTTCAGATCTGAAATTACTTTTTTCATAAGACAATATTTTAATGAGATACCTACAGGTTCTATTTAAAATAATTTTTAAGTTAAAAAAAAAATGAATACCATTTATTGTTCCTACCCATAGAGTATCCTGAATGTCTCATTTGAAACTCGGTAGTACTTTACATTACACCCTGTATATATAAAAAAATACTAGTTCTTCAAAATTTAACGCAACAATACTTTTAAATAGCAAGTCTACACAATAGCTTACGAGTTGATGAAATTAAAAAAGTTAAGGCTTTTATTTCCAAAAAAAAAAAATTAGTTTTTCTAAATAATTACAATATAAGAAAAGTATTTTAATTCCTCATAGGTACTTACATTGTGTAATAAATTGTCATTAAGTATAAAATATATAAGAAGCTATTAATAAGAGTTCATATTTTATAAAATTAGGAAAACATTTTTTTTTTTTGGTGAAAAATAATGTCAATTATTGCCAATAATGGCTAAGAGGTCAACACTTATACTGTGTCTCACTAGATTTCTACGCATCAACATAACCCATGTATTATATAAATTTGTTATGGAATATCAAGATTGTAATTCTATCAAAACACTTTTTTTTTTACACATTTCATTTTCGTATAGGGAAATTCTAAAATCCTGACGGAAGGAAATGGAAAAATTTTCATTTCAGAGATCAGTGTTGCCAAATCAAAAAAATTAAATATTGGAGAAAAGCAAGATGGCTGACTTCAGCGTATCACGACAGCTGACATCATATCTATCTATTTAGTCATGGATTGAACAATAATTGTTTGCTGATTACAATACAATATGATAATAATATCAGTTATCACTGTCGAGTTATCACTTATCGGTTATCACTCACGTGTAGATGTCTGCTGTTAATTATTATGTTTTTAACTAGCTAGCAACTAGTAGCTATTTCAGCTTTAGGCTTTAGCATCTAGTTCTAACTTCTGAAGTCGAAATAATTTTCATTAACTCCTTACATTTTTTATCTGCTTCCTAATAAATATTTGTATTACATAAATCCGATCTTCCAAAATATCAACTAAGTAATTGAATAATATATTACTGATATGGACCCTAATGAGTGAGTTGTGAATTTTTTTTTACAATACTTTTATAAATATTTACTCATTTCTCCTTTTGAGCAAACATTTTCATTAAAACTTACTTGAAATTCGTTTTTAGCAAAGTTAAAAATATCAACACATCAATGACTGATGAAGAACGCGAACTACTTGCTAGTAGTCTAGATGAAGATTTGGATGCCTTCATAGGTAATCTAAAACAGAAACCGTATGAAGATGGTTGGGATGAATCCAATTGGCGAGAAGTAGCTACTCAATAGTTATTGTTCTAAATTATTGATTAAAAATAATATGTGTTTTAGGAAATGGATAAACATCCATTTTTTATGAGTAAACCCCCCGATCCGACAGAAGAACTCTCACCGCTTGTTGAAGGTTTACAAAATTTACGATATGATCCAGATGATAACACTCCTGAAGAGTTAGCTGATAAACATAAGGAAGATGGAAATTTTAACTTTAAATGTAAAAAGTATAGACTGGCTATTATGTGTTATCAGGAAGGCCTTAAATTAAATTTTCAAAATGATCAGCTGCGTGCACAAATGTTTAACAACATGTCTGCATCCCATTATTTTTTAAAAAACTATAGGTTTGTAATTTTATTTAGGTATGCAAGTTGGATTTTTTAAATACATATTTAATTACATTATTTTTACAGATCAAGTTTGAAAGCAGCTGAGCAAGCTCTTAAATTGAAACCTGACTATGAAAAAACTATAATGAGAGCAATTAATTGCTGTGTTCAACTGAATGACTTTGACGATTGTATGGAATATTGTGACAAATTTCTTCAACGTGTACCTGATGACCAAACTGTAATAGACATTAAAAAAAAAGCACTCAAATCTAAGGTAAATATTTTATTTAGGTATGTCATAGCCATGTAATCGTAAATTATTGAAATACAAATTCATATATTTCTTACTAATAAAAAAAAGCCAGTACAGTGATGTCGGGGCATAGTGGGGACGGAGAGGTCACAGGTCTGCAGATTTTATTATAACTGAAAGTGATAAAATAACTTTTAAATAAATGCTTCGATGCGAATCTGTGAATAGTATGTTCAAACCAGTTATAGCGGTTTAGAAGATATCGTGGGACCAGCAATAATGTACTTAAAATTTAATATTTAGTCTTGTGTAGGGTTGATAAAATAAGGGTTGATCGTCTCTATACAAATGTACTGCCATAGTTACCCATATATCGTAATTAACAATATAATGAAGATATTTTCATTACCTGTTGACTGTTGATTCACTCACACATAGCAACCTAGAGACTGACTATGGCTAAAGTGTAAATTTACCCTATTTTTGGGGTTTTTCCTTAATAAAAAAAAAATTGACTACAGATTTTTGAGAAAATTGTATATGTTATAGTTCCATTTTAGATCTATCTTCGGTCTAATTTTTAGATCTAAATCTCAAAAGAGCATTTTGAGCAATCGTATTTTTAGGTAGAAAAATGTATACATTTTTTGGGTATTTTTCTCGATTTTGATGGGGAAGGGGTGACTTTTAAAAATGTTTAGTCCTCTAAAGTACCTTCCAGGTATGATTTCTGATCAATAGAGTTGCTACACGAAGAAATCGGTTCAGCGGTTTACGAGATATCGTGGGTCCAGACACAAATATAGAAAAAATAAAAACACATCACTGTAAAAACAATACCTTCTCAGCTTCGCACCGAAGCCAAAATATAACTGAATAACAACTCAAATAATATATAACATTTTTTTTTAATGTAATGAATTTAAATAAAAATTAAAAAATGTTTAATTAATTGTTCAATCTTAAATTCTTAACAATATTTTAGCTTTGATGCCGAGCTGAGAAGGTCTTCTTGAGAAAGTTTTAACAATAATGTGAATTTATTTTTTGTGTCTGGACCCAATGTATCTTCCAAACTGCTGAGCTATAACATATACATTGAGTACAATTTTCTCAAAAATTGAGTCAAAAGTTTTAAACTTTTTTTATGAATGAGGAAAAACCAACAAAAAGGGGAAAACTGCACTTTGATAGTAGTGAAGTTGAAAGTTGGGTATACTAAAATTACAACTTTAAACACACTCTTTGCCTTAATAATGCTTTTATCAATATTTAATATTCCTATTTACAGACACGCATCATTCATCAAATTGTTTACTTAAAGTGATAAGATATCACTTTCGATTATGATAATTCTGAAAACATGTGACCTCCGTGGTCCCAATATGGTCATCCCCACATGCCCCAACCTCACTGTATTCAGTACTGGCTATTATTTAAATAAAAAATCTTAAATTAAATATATTTATTATTATATTTAGTTACTTGAATCTGAAGAAAAACTGTATTTAAATGAAATAGTATTTCAAACAGTAAATAAAAATGTATTTCACATAATTATTTCTTATTTGGAATCGTGAAAAATGCCCGGGTTACGATAAATGTCAGTTGTTGAGCCTACTAATGTGCTGCAAGCATTGTTTATCTATCTTTACAAGGGACTATACTTAATTTAATAATAATTTTGTAGAAAATAATGGAAAAAGATCAAAGGAAGATGACGAAAGTCCAAAAACAACAAGAAGCTGAAAACCACAAACTATTAGACGAGCTTAATAAAAGAAATTTAGTAATATTCGGAAAAAAAAGTACTAAAAAATGACTTTATTGTTTATTACCACGTGAATTTAAGTTTTCTTTTCAAACTCCAGGTGGTCTAATTAAAGATTTATCAGTTTTGGATCCAAAAGTTCCAGGCTTAGTACAGAGAGTGCATTTGGTTGAAAATCGTCTTGTATGGCCAGTTACATTCTTGTATCCAGAATATCAAACATCCGATATTGTACAAGAGTTTCATGAAGATTCTATGTTAGTAAAAATTGAATATGTTTTATTTAAAAACAATTATCATCTGATTTTTTAAGTAAATTAAATATTAAGCGTCTTGTATTATATCGATATGAATGATGAAATTGAACTATCAAAATATTTCCAATATTGAGTATCAAATAAAATAATTAAAATTAATACTTATATATTATGATATCGATAATAATATGAGGTACTCGTTGTTTAGTTAAATAATTTCTGTTGTATCAGTCGAATGATTTTTTTTAATTTAATGTTTATACATACATTTATTTATATTTTAGGTTTTATGATCATCTGTTACAAATGTTTTCTGAACGACCAGAATGGGATGTAGAAGGAAAATATAATGCAGATATAGTAAATGTTTACTTTGAAGTTATCAATACTGCTAATATAAGTAGTGTTATTAAGATAGATAAATATAAATGTACCTTGTCAGAAGTATTAACCAAACTAAGGTAAATAAGAAAAAAATAATTTATATAAAACATATTATACAGAAAACAATTGTTTACTATGCCGGGTTGGAAATCTGTCTGTCATTTTTAAATGACACTTGATAAAATGTTTACAAATATGCGGAATTTTATAATGAATAATTTCCCTTTTTTTAAATTTTTTTTTATTATTAATCTAAAAATGTGTATACATGTATATATATATTTTTTTTAATCACCATTTATACTATAACATACAATCTTAATTATTTCAATTACGATTATACATCTATTTTAATGGTTTTAGATGCCCAATTGACAATGGGATGCCAGTTTTTTTGGTGTTTGTTGCTGGTGAGAAACATGAAAAAGATTTTTTAGATGCAGCCTCTTGAATATTAATTAATATAAATGTGAATACATTTTTAAAATGTTCAAGATTGTTCTCTTTGTATTGTTCTGTTATTATTGTTTAGTTCAAAATAAACATTTCTCTATTGATATTATTATTTATGTGTTATAAAATAATATATAATTCGTAGTTTCTAAACTTCAGTTTGAGCCTATTAATTTTGTTCTCCTAGTCACTCGAGTACACTGAACTGAATATTAAATATTTATTTCAGTGCTCAAATATAAAACTTAGTTTTAAATAGCAAAAACATTCTTTCTATGAATATTTTGGTCCCAGGAATAAAAGCATTTTTCAATTCAATAATTACACCTATTATTTTATTCGTTATATTCAAATTTTACTTAAGAAACCGACTAACGGATAAATTCAGTGCTGCGCACAACCAAAAAAAGTTACCTTTTTAGTATTTTTTTCAGAGCTCTATTGAATTTTTAAAACTTGGATAGTAATGTATATTTTTAATTAACTTATGAAATTAAGAAAAACTGGGTGTTTTAAAAACTATTTTTTATTAAAATAAATGTAGTTAAAATTATATGTCATGGCGATGAAATGGTTGACATGGAAAAGCTCTTATTAATTATTCTAAAATGACTTTATGAGTATGTAGTATAAATGTTAAAAAAATGAAAAACAAAAAATAATTCAATGTATAAAATATGTAAAAAAAGTAAATATATAAATTAATTATTGGATAATTAAAGTCTTATTAGACAAAGATCCTTTGGTAATTTTTTATCAAAACATACATTACTAATTGCTTAATTAGGTATATTATGTTATTCTATTCCATTCTTATTACTATTTAGCAACAGGGGTGCAAGTTGTTCAGAGAAACGAGTGTAATTTCTTTCTAGCTCTTGTTGATAACGCCGTTGGTCTGGTCCAATTAGTCCACGGTTTTTTTCTAAAGCATCAGCACACCTGAGAAAAAATAAAATCAATAAATATTTGTTGACACTTTAAAAGAATTGCAAAAATATGCATAGAAAAGGGGATAAAACCAGCTAAATAAACACATGTTGTATACATTAATTTCTATATCTGAATAAAACTAAAATAAAGTATGAACTCGTTGAAAACAGTTTTGGAAAAAATTAAAAATTTGATAAAAGTCCACATTATTAAACAAATTTAAGTTCTTTTGACTTATTTTTAAAGCTGTGGGCTTACTTTCTTGAAAAATCCTTAAAACATAGCCGTAGTTTATTTTGATGTCTGCTCATTAGCAAATTATTGTGGCTATTTGTGTTTTGTTGCTGGGATAGGAATACCGTAGCCATCTCCATAGGACCACAATTTACTGTAGTGCCTGTAATAATAATATAAATAATGAATAAATGTATAGACTATATCTACTTCCTTTTTCTACACTCAATGATAGTATAAATAAATACAGTAAAAATAATTTTATAAGTATTATATTCATTAGCTACTAGGTTATTGGGACAAACAATCGGATATCCAGTTAACTTATAACTAGCCCAATATATTTAATTTTGAAAGTTTTGCAATTGTTCAGAGACCAAACACATATTTTTTATTGATTTTACTTTCGACGCAGAGCTGAGAAGGTATGATTTTACAATGATGTTTTGTTTTATTATTTTTATATTTTTTCTTTTCTGAATCCAAACCCACAATATCTTGTAACCCGCTGAACTGATTTCTCCATATAGCAAGTGATATCATGATGTAGCGTGATCAGAAATTTTATCTAAAATGTACTTATTATGACCAAAAATTAAAAAAGTTTATCTTTTCCCCATCAAAATTAAGAAAAACACCCTAAAACTACATTTTTAATCTTAAAATTATGACACACTATAACTTTTTGAAAAATAGTCAAATTACTTCCAAACTTGCGTAGGAAATTCTTTAAATATATAACTACCAATATATTATAATGAATACACGAGAAATGCATTATCACTATCCTCTAGAAGGTTAGACATTTTTTCTTCACTTTCCATTTTAAAACTAAAAATTAGACTACAGGTAGATGTAGCCTGGCTTTATAAAATTTACATATTACTTTAAAAATCTGCAGTGTAAATTTTATAGCAGAAAAAAATAGTTACAATTTTGTGATATTGTCATTTGTTGATAATTCTTAATTTTTTTTAAATTTCTACAAGGTGATCATTTTAACGTAACATATTATTTTTTTTAAATTATATTCATTATGCAGTTTTTTTTCTTTTTAAAATATTGTTGTAGTTGTTTTAACTTATATTATGAATATTTCAATCAATCAGTTAACATTTTTAATAAACTATTCTTAATTTAATTCTCAACAAGTTGATAAAATTCACGCGTTTCCATTTTTTAGGGACACATTTTTTTTTTACTTATTCCATCCACATTAAACATCATAAAAGTGTTTAAGTAAAAGTAATTTTATCAATTTCAGCTATAATAATTCCTGAAGACTTGTGACCTCTCCAAACTCAATATGGTCCGTCCCCAATTCATAAATCAATCAACGACTGCTAATTTTAGAATGTGTAATGTATGAGATTTTAAAATGTTAATTATTACAATAGATGTTTTACCTATGCACCCTTGCAATACCATTTGTAACATTTTTGCATCTGCAGGCGTTTGATTAATACTCCTAGCCAACTCTTGGGTTTTTCTCTGCAAGTCTTCGATAGCCACTTCTATCGGCTGCATTACAATTACCTCCATGTGGTCACCATAGTTTTGTTCTACGGGTCGCCGACTGGGAGTGGTATTCGTACCTCGGTTATTGACAATGTTAGCGTTACCTTCAAATACTGGTATTCGTGTTAGTATATATGGAAAATGTCGTTCTGTTGTCAGCAAAGTTTTTCTTTTGTACTGATCCCTCAACTGGCACGCGTGAGTACGTCCATCATCGTCTAATGTAAATGGTGTGGAGTAAACAAACCTTTCTGCAAATGATACAAAAATATTACATTACACTTACGTATTATTATAATCTAATAATATGATTCCATGCATTTTTACTAACTTATGTTATCACTATTATCATTAGTACTACTCGATTGAATACTATGCAACGCCAATTTTAATGATGGCTCACTGCAAGGCTCTACATAGGTTATTTGAATATAGACTTTTTTTTTGTGATCAATCGATTCTCCTGATATTCTATTAGAATGCTTAACTGCAATAACATTTTCTGCACCATATTTATCTGAATAATGAGACTAAAAAAAAAAAATAGATTAAAATAAAATAATGATTTTTAGTGTAGGTTTGTTATAACATAAAATGAAGAGTTTATTTAACACATTAACCATTACCACTTTTAAAAATAAGTTGGCTCATCTCTTTATTATAAAATCAATGGCACTAGTAATTTCTCTTATTTTATAAAAATGTAATAACTAATAATTATTTATACTCTTACTTGTAATCTATCAAAAATCTCCGATAATTTAGTCAGTTGTGGCTCTTTGTAAATGTACTGCTTTCCACTAAACTCCAAATCATTGTTTTCATCTTCGCTTTCCCCGCTGCTTGTTTCTATGTCACCTATACCATTATAATATATACCAACTCTAAAATAGGTGCCATCGTAAAATGTTTCACTGTTTGGTTTTGATTTTTTTTGTTTTTTATCTAACATTATGTAAGCTTCTCTCAATTTCCCATAAGTCTCTGCCAATCTTCCATATCTACTGATATCCTCTTTCACATCACCACCATAGCCACGTTCTATGAGAGGAATCAATAAATTATTATAGACCTTCGCCATTTTTTCATACATTGATGCTTTCCACAATAAATCTGCCGATTTTTGTAATTCTATTGTTATCAAATCTAATAAAGAGTAGCAGGAAGATGAATCCCCATCTAATGGTTTTTCTAACAATGTTTCCTCACACATTTCATACAAATCGTTACTATCTTCAAATAACTCCTCAGACACCGCGCATTCCTCTATTAAAACATTCGGACTTATAGACTCTAAACAAGCAGCACCTTTACAAACAGACAAATTATAGTGTCCATTATCACTCCTCTTTAAATATTCACACAAAAGAGCAGTGCCATTTATGTGGCACATGGCTGCTTCACAATAATTTCCATTCTGAAAAAAAAAAGTGTTATTAATTACTCAGTTTGACAGTTAAACTGTAATGTATTTGGTATTACTTTAACATGAATAGAAGCCATACGTTGCAACCATCTCAGTCTCAATTGAGGCATTAGACAAGCTGACGCTTGTTGATATCCACAAGCTACCGAGTACATAAATTCTAAAAGGAGCTGCGAATCTTCCGATGAGATCAAGAGTGATGGGTTCATTACCAATGAAGAATCCCCGACATTGGTTTTACGTTTCATAAGCTTATATATTTTATTTATTGATTCTATAACTTTGAGCATTCCGTCTACAGTTCCTCTCACCTTCAATGAATACAAATATATTTTATTTTTATACTTGCCAATTCAAAATCATTGTCAAAATACCTGATCTGCAAACTTTGTACTTAACATAGTTGCACCATTGGAACTACTAGAATCAATGTTATCGGCATACTTCATTACTGCTTGTAAAGCCAACTTAATTCCTCTGTAACGCTGATTATCAATAAAATTGCAATACCATAGATCTTCAGAACCCTTTTTCTCTAAAAGAGTACTCAACGCTAATGCTCCATACATTTTCACACGTGGAAAATTCTAAAAATAAAAACCATAAGACTTTAAAGTGTTTAAAATGTTGTATAACTATTAAATAAATACAAAAATTCTTAAACTAAAACTAAAAAAAAAATACGACAATTTGGGAGAAGGATGGTATTCTTCGTTTTTGGATACTGCCGAGCCAAATAAAATCATAAATAAAACCCTTATATTAAAACAAGCTCTTGATGTAAATTAACATTTATATGTGGGGGATTAAATTAAGAAAATAATGGTGAGAAATCATTAATGTCTAGTTTTTTTACAGTCTAGCCTTAGACACCCCTCAAAAAATTACACAAATTTCTTTACTGTGAATATAGTACAACTAGAATTTGCATTTAATAATAATTTTGATTAAGTAAGAAACACCTTTTACAAAAACTAACACGTTCCATATTTTAAAATAATTTTTTCTAACAAAGACTAGCACATTTACAGTTTTTTCAACAAAGAAGTAACATACTTGATTTTTCCTGACAAAAACTAACACTTTTTTCATATACTTAAATAGTAAAACCTGTGAGTTTTCGTGAGAGAAAAATCAACAGTTTTAGTCTTTGTATGGAAGTTTAAAGTGTGTTAGTTTTTATAAGGGAAATCAATATATTGGGCATATTAAATAAGAATATAAATAATTTCTAACTTACGTTATCTAAATTATAATTGACTCTCATTAACCAATAAAAAGTTGCCGATGCTTGCATTAAAATGGAATCCTCATTACAATTGCATTTTTCTCCTTGTAAATAAAAATGACATAAAACTGCTAAACATGTTTTTTGTAAAAGTTTATTGCTATCAGTTTGATCAATTGATTCACAATCACAACCAGAATCTCCATCGTCTTCATAGCCTTGATCACTATTAGTGAATAACAATCTCGGATACTGAGTTATGGTAGAACGTACTATTTCGAAAGTCTTTTTCAATGCACCAATACTAGGAGCATCTTTAGTACAGTTATTCGGGTAACTCTGATATTGATATGTTTTCAGAGCTCTCAATAACACCTTAAAAGCTAGTCGTACAGTACTTGGCACAGTAGCAGTCACCGTTAACTGTGTATTCACTCCTTTAGCTCTTGATGACACTTGAATTATGTTTTCTAGTGTATCCAATACAATATAGCCGACATCATTTGCAAGCAAATTCTCAGTGCTTAATTCATAACTACTAACATCCGAGCACTTTTGTGATTTACTACGATAACGTAATTGCCGTAATGCGTTAACTGAAGTAGATGATGAAGATGCAATAGTGTTGCTTCCATAATGCATTAGATCTTTGTTCCATCTTACTTTAGTGTTTGTGTTGGCAGCACTTTTTCTTCTTTCCATTAGATCGTTTCTAGCACCTTGTCGTCCCAATATCACATCTTCCAATCGGGATTTCACATCGTCTACAGATTGTGATGGAACTGTGGATACACTATTTATGCTTGATAACGATTGATTATTTTGATTAACGACAGGAGGTAAAGAAGCGTAAGATGATACACTAGATGTGGTGGCAGGGCAATGCAACGATAAAGATTTGCACAACTTTGATGAATTGTTTTTCTTTTTATTATTAACGTTAACGTTATTACTACTGTAGGCTTTGTATCTAAATCGCTCGACACATAAATTCATCAAAGATAGTAAGTTGTTAGCATGCCATGTGGATAATGCACTCAAGTACTGAGTTAAAGGTTCGTTGTTAAAGTTGTCCACAACTTCTTCTCTTATATTTCTCAATATCCATAATATAGAAACCAATATATTTTGAATAGCCTTTTCAGACAATAACGATGAAGTAGATGCCATAGCAGCTTTTACACTTGATATACTTGATGATGATATTGCTTCAAACGATACTGTTCTACGGCTACTTCTTCTACTAGGTTTTTCGTCATCATCATCAAAACTTTCAAAATTGTCATTATCAAGGTCATCTTGGTCAGATAGAAGTATGCCTAACAAAGCTTGATCTTTAATAAATATACTCAATATTGGAACATAAAGCCAAGCTACAGTAACTTTTAATTCATTAACTTTTAAATCATGTTTTTGAAGAAGCCTTATGATTAGTTCAGTGGCTTTTTCTTTAACTTTTGAATCATTAGTAGGAGACCTTAGTACTTCAACAAATTCTTGAATTACAAGTGAAGAAAGATAATGATTTTTCCTATACTCATCACAGATATCTGTTAAAACTGTAGAATCAAGGTTATTATGTAGTAAGTTAAGTTCTACATAATACCGATGTTCAGATAAGATTTTGAAAAAATCTAGCTGTAAAAAATTAAAAATTGTAAATTATAATTATCATGATTTAATAGTATTTAAAAAAAATACTTAGGTTTAAAAAAAAAACATCAAGACTGATTTTATGTATGTATGTACGGGTTAATCAATTTAACATAAGACACTCATTATCTCAGAAAAAAATTACAATTATGTAGCTTTTCTGTTTGCAAACATTTTTATTAATGTTATTGTACATTATCATAAAATGATCAAAAGTTTATCTTTTTAAGTATATTCCTGTGCGCTACCAACTTTTGAAACTTAAATGGTAACTTATATTTTTAATTGTCTTTTTGAAAGTATAATAATTAACTAAATATGTTGACTAGTCGAGTACTAATTTTGGATAATTATTTATAAAATTAATAATATTTATAACTTAGTAAGGGAGATAGTGTAATATTGTACAATAACATGTTTTCAAAAAGAAAAAATATAAAATTGTAATTATTTTCTGAGATGATGAGTGTCTTTCATTAAATTGTCTACGCTGTACATTTTAAAATTCATAGAGTAGTAATGTCGCGCCAACAAAGCATTTTATATATATATATATTTTTTTTTTTATCTGCATGTGCATCTTAGACATATTAGTGTTATTCATTTTTCATTTTCGGGCACATTTTAGGAATTTAATTCCTAAATGTACATTACATATAGATCTTATGGCATAGGTACCATTAAATATTTAAATTTTAGCTTTCTACAAATATTTTTATAAAACTAGTCTATATAAAATGGCATGGTTGTAGTTTTATGTAGTACCTTTAAGCTTGATAATATTGAGTATGATCTTTTATTATTGCCAACAACTTTCTGTTTTGCAGTCATTGTGATAACATACTCTCCTATCAAAGCATATACATAATTCAATCCATTTTCATCATTAATAAATACTAGCAATAAGTCCCTGAGAAAACTTGCTATGTTATTATTTAATAATCGTGTACGCTAAAAATACAACACAAATATTCAATTATTTTTTTTTTTAAATGAAAATGTGAATGTGAACTGAAAATGTTTTTACCTCTAAATAAGTATTGCCTTTATCTGATGTAATAATGCATTCAGCAATATATTTGTAGAAGTTTATTAGGAGATTACGTAAGTCTTGCAAAAACTGTCCAGTGAATCTAGCAATTCCAGGTATCTTATTCGTTTCATTATCATCATTATACAATGTGACTCCAAGTGCCATACATTTGATCAGAGCGTCAAAAAAGAAAGTTGAATCTGTAGCTGCCGCAATACGCACGTCAGTGCATAAAATCCATTGCTCAATTATACATTGTTGAAGAGCTTGAAGTCTGTTTAATGCTTTGGAACGTTTTAGCAACCATTCATCATGTTGTATTGAATTATTGATACTACTTGCATAGTTTGTACGACTGCCTCCTGTAACACGTTCAGTTACAGTTGAACATTCTGGTGTGCGTTTAATATCATAGTTACCAGTTGTTTTTGTAAAAGTTGTACCATACGCTTTGAAAACCGAATCGCTAAATGACGAACTAATTTCTTTATCCGTTAATGGAGATGAACCATCAGAAGAATCCACATATTTTTTCTCTAGATCAAAATAGTTTTCCAATCTTTCACCATTATATTCTTCATTTGTTAAAATAGCACAACCAAAATGATATCTGATATAACTTTGAAGTACTTCATTTCCATTTTGTTCCTAAAAAATAATTATAAATACCATATCACTCTAAAATAAAATAATATAATAATCAAATAGTAATTTTTTACTTTTGTTATTATAAAGATTAGTTGCTGTAGAGTATGAAAAACTGAAGTACCAATGTTCATTGTATCAACACTGTTCATGCATCTGGGCGGTTCCACTAATAATGAAAATAGTTTGTCTAATACAACATTTATGTATTGAACCAATGGCTTAATTGCAGTCCTAGTAATATTCGTTAACCTGTATGGAAATTATTCACATTAATAGAGACAACTATTATAATATGAATTAAATTTTACAATTACCTGTGTTTCAGTTCCGACTCAATGTTAGATTCTGCTAATCGCCTGGGTAATTTGTCCCCTCCAGCTTCACAATCTTTTAATAGAGGTTCTAACAGACTACAGAAAGAAAAAAAGCTATTTAATGCTGTATCTCCGGGATGTACTGAAGACACGGGTTTTATGTGAACGACAAAATGTGGCTTATGATTGTCAAGCCACTCGATGCCCGGTAATGCCACATCAGCAGTGATATAAGAATAGTTTGCCAGTATCGGGTCAATGGGATGCAAAGCTACTGGCAGATTGTATTCCCCTTCTACCAACGCCCTGTCTTTCAATAAAGGCAGCCATGTGTATCCTACTGGAGTTTCCAATGACTGGAGTTGCCCTACACCGACTTTCTTGTCTTTATCTCCGTCTTTTCCTTTGCTACAGCTAACATGGTAAAATGTAAAGAGTAAATGATAGTTTTTGCTTCCATTTTTATCTATTCCATCGCCTTTGCACCCATGTATATCAGCAGGAAGCTTTATTTTAACTTCGTCATAAAATGAAGGCCATCGTTGATGATAAGTTACCGATGTGTGTGCTTCATTTGTGAATAATGTTGCAAAACCATTTTCCCCACTTCCACCATCTCCATTAAATATAGCATGCATAGCATCTTCTGGCTGATGTTCACCACACATGAGCTGAACCTTCACTGTAATGTTCCTTGCTGAGCCTGTACGACTTGACAAGTTAAGTTCTTTAGGATACACATAAAGGAGATTTCTATACACATAATGGGGTGTGGCAATATTAATGATCGATGAGTTACCATTTGCTGTGGAACTAACTGAGGAAAACTCTAAAAGCTCCCTCACAATACAAGCTGAACTCTCACTACTCGTGTCCTTTTTACTGTGGTGATTCCTACTAGCTATTGGCAAAAGATCAGTCGTATATAAATTTTCTAATGAACTATCAGTGATTGTAAATGGAGAAATGTCTAATTTAATACACGTTGGTGAACTTCCATGGTGATTAGTCGTGTTAAGATTTTTCAATTTTTTTGATGCTAGAATTCCAATGCCACCCGGTGATGATGTAGCATTAGATAACAGTGAAGAAGTGCCAGAACTGCAACTTACACCTGAAGTACTGCTAGATCCTTGATCTGCGGTGTTTCCACTCCATGTTTGACATTTAAATTCATGTAGCAATTTATAAAGGTCTTCATCTTTCAACTTGTCAGTTTCCTGGCAAATATTAAACATCGAGTTTAATTAAATAATAATAATCTGTATTTTTCAAATAATTTAAACAGCTTGAGTATTGAAAGTTAATCAAACGTGGAAAAAAAAGGTATACTTGCTTGTTTAAAAAAGCCATTTATTGTTAAAGTGACTGGACGAAAGTCAATAGCAGCATTATCGGTAATACTAGGATGCCGACTACTGCGTTTTCGGCGTGAATGATCACTAATACTTTGAGTGGCACCAGTACTACATAAAAGGTCTTCTTCTGACCAACTGTACCTTCTTTGTTTACGATGATGTTTTAATGGACGCTCAGTAGTAGCGGCTGCATCAATGCCTTTATAAGCACTGTCATTATAGCTGACATAGCTAGATGTATTACTAATGCGGCGATCAAGAGACCCTCTATGCTCTACCATTGTCGTTGTCACAAGATGATCTGTTTGCCCACCTGATCCTGACCACTTTTTACGAAACTTTTCAAACTCACCCAAACCAAACCGGCTATCTAAAATACCAAAATAATAGGTTTTTTTGAAAATATTAAAATGGCAAAATAGCTTAAAAATAAATTAAAGCAAAAAATAAAATGTATTTATTTTGTTGTATAAATAAATTATATGATAGTCTTATTTTGTTATTTACTTTTACATATATCTCAAGTTAGAAAATACTAAGTACTTAAGCTTCATTGCAAAGCTGTATTGGTTATATATATATATATGTATATATTTTATAAAAATATTACCTAAGCTGTTTGTAGTATTTTGATTACTACTGTTACGATCTAGACTATCCATAGATGAAGAACTCCTATGATTTGATCCAAATACATCAGCAAGATGCACTGCTGTCCATGCGTATGGAGTTCTGTAGCGTAAATATGTTTTTTCAACGTTAGTTGCAGGTAATGTACTATTATCATTACGCTGCTTTCCTTGGAGTGGCTTTTCCAGTCTAATCACTAAAAATAAATCCTCTCCGAGTACTGTACTACCTTTGCTACAATTGGGTATATCTATGACGCACGCGTTTCGATGACGAGTTAATGAAGTGTGATTTTGCAAATCCAAATAACAATTTTCTGTTAATTTGCGCCTTGCACGCAAATCATACACTGCCATATAACCAGAAAGATTGGGCATGTTAGACACATTACTTTGATTTGTTCCACTTGATGATTGAGATGTGAGCGAATCAGATGTAGCATACCCAGACACAGTGTCTTGTGGCGTAGTTCCAGCATCACTGCATTCCAAGTGTATGCATTCTACTAGCAAACGACAAAAATGATGCTGCATACCAGTATAATCTCGTGGTACCGGTATATTTGCCAAAGAATCATCGTCACAGTTAGAATTCTCTATTTTATAAAAAGAGAACAACCTGGTATGCTGTGGGATATAATAAATAACATAAGTAAAAAAATATATAAAAGAAATACTTTCTTATAATTTGTATGTACCTGTTTAAAACTATTTTTTGATTTCTGTTTAGATCCGTAATTTTTATCATAATGTAATATATCATCCAATAATGGTAGATCAGTAGTATGACTACTGGTATTATTGTTGTACTTGGTGGCGGAAGGAACGTTATTTGTGATAGGTGGTGCAGGAGGAGGTTGTGAAGGATGTGTCTTTATATTATTACGCAATTTTGTTGCAGAAATTTGAGAGATTGAGTTATAGCCAGCAGTTGATGGTGCCGAAGCAGCCCTGTGAAGTGATGCAGATGACGTTTTACTTACTGAACTCACATCATCATCATATACAATTAAGCTTTTTGAAGAGGTGTTGTCAGATGATGAATCACTGCTATCGGAAAAATACTCTGAAAGTCGATGTAGACTTTCATTGTCATCGTAGTGTTCATTATCAAATAAATCTACCACCAGCCAATCCCTTGTATAAGTGCTAATAATTTCTCGAACATGTCGTGCACATTCCGAGCTAAAAATAGGGCAAATATAAAAACAAATCTTTACATTTAAAAATAACAACATAAATTATGCTTATAATTTAAGAACTTACAGTGACTGTTCGGGGACTGTGAGTGTACGTGTGCGTATGTTGCGCTTTATAATGTATACTTTTGGAGGTTTTAAGGACTTAATAATATTATGACAGTGAGATTTTTTAGTTATTCTACTAGAATTCGTAAAATGTGTGGCACTATTACGATCCTGTATTGCTGTTTGTCTTCCAGTTGTCGTATTGTGTTCTATAGGAGCACGCAATGTTGATGATGAAGATGACGACGAATTAGATGACAACAGTGATGACGAAGATGGCGAATTCATAGTGCCATCATTGTTAGCAATAGTATTTGCAGGAACTCCAGTTTTTAATGCAGCAAACGCCCTATGATTTTGTTGTTGATGCATTGCAATTTAAGTCTACTAGAGATCGATGATATAATTGAGAACAGCAGTAAAAAAATGAATAGTTAAAATAAAACACTATTAGGCTTAGTTAAAACTTAAATCACTTATTAAAAAAAGGTTTATAATAATATGTAATGCAATTATTGCTAAATTAGATACATGCGATGAATAATTATTAAAAACTATCCTACCTATATAGGAAACTAATACCGCAAAAGTATTATATAAACATTAGGTCAAACTTCAACCATTGCATACCAATTTCATATCTTTTTTTGTATTCATCAATCACCATCATCATCATCATCATAATATTATTATTATTGATACTTGATAAATCGGTGAACCCTACCCGGTCCCACTCCCGGCAGCATCAACAACTATAGCCTATAGTAGTTATAGCTACTGCAAAACCGGAAACGGATATGTAAATTGTGATAAAGACAAGTGTACAAAATAATATTTCGGTATCGATGTGAGATGGAACTGGGGAGTGGTTGGTATTAAACATGAAAAAATAAACAGGCGTGTCTTCAATTTGTGTTATCAATTTTTACAACATGCAGGCTGGTTAACTTTCGTAATAAATAAACAGCCGCCCGAGAAAACCGGCAGCCATTTTGTCATTATCACACGTTGCTGACGTACCTCTACTCTGTTCCAAAGGAGTATATACCAGAGCTGGTATAATATTCTCTTGGAAACGTATTAATACTTCTACGATTAATGATTATGTCCTCTTGAAAATAATTTTAAGTGCTAACGCCTCTCGGCTCTCTTTAACCCTCAACGCGTGTTAAGGTTTAGAGTTTAGTGTGTAAAAACCGTTATATTTCAAAGATTTATGAAAGGTTTCATTCAGCCTCTTTAGAGTAAATTTTTTTTAGTGTGGAAAAACTTTATAAAAACAAAAATGTATTAAAAGATAAACTTTCCCCCCAAATTTCTTTAATAATTTTACCTGATTTCTTCATTTTTAATATACGTATTTTATTACAATTAATTACGCATACATACTAGTTGCATATTTATGGCGTCCTCAAACGTTCATTAGACACGAAAAGCTTCCATGCTAGCAGCATCTCTTAAAAAGTAGTTGATTAGCCGTTAACGTGTTTAACTTGGTAACTCCTGACCAACAATTCAGAAAAAATAAGAAGTTAATAATAATTCTTCGACACTGACTACCAGTAGAAATTATCAGGTTTCAAGTTAGACCCCAGTTAATTTACAGCATTAGAGGAGTATAAAGATTAATTGATTTTATTTTTTTATAGTAAATTTAAATACTTAATACATAAATAATTCTAAAAATATTAATTGCTTAGACTCCAAAAATACTGGTTTACACCCTAGTTTCATATATTATGCGGCTTAAATAAATAATAACATGGTGCTACAGATTCTAAATTTTTCAAGTGACCTAATAAAGGTCGAGTCTAACCTAAAACCACGTTAGAATTTTTTTTACTCACTCAAATATTTTATACCTGAAGTCAGTATTCCCAAGAGTAATTTTATTTAACAATAAATTTAATTATTATGGGTATAAAAAATTGTTCAAATGTGGTTTTATGTTACTACACTGGACCCCTACTACAACCTGCACTAGATCACTTGAAAAGTTTATTCAATGTTTTTTTTTTTTGTAGCACTAATTGTTCATAACGATATTAAACATTTTCCAAATTACTTATTTTTTTATTCTTTTAGACATTTTTGTAACGGAAAATGTAAACCAAATGTCCTCGAATAAAAAAAAAAATGAACAATAATGCATATATGAACAAAAATATTTTATATCATAATAATAATTCTTCATAGTCATTCTAAAATAATATACACATAAATACAAAATAATATCAATATATAAATATCTAATACAGTATACATAATAATAACTCATATATATATAAATATTGTCAATAATAGTAATATATTTAACATACTTAAAATAAAGCATTTCTTAAATTGCCACTTCAATTATTTTGCTTAACAACATTTAAGTAATACAAATTTCTCTTTAGGCACTAAATGAGCATATTATTGTCAATAATAAATTGAGCTAAATAAAAACAAAAATAATTAACAAATAATAATTATAATAATATATAAAATAAGTAATTACAATCTGGCTTTATAAACTATCAGGCACTTAAATATAGTATACATGCTGCCAATAATAAGGATTTTCTTGAAAAAATAATTCTTCAATATGATAATAATTGTACTAAAATATAATTATTGTGTATGTTTTACAACTAAATAGTTATGTGTGATAGAAATTATTTTATAAATAGACTTCCAACTTTTACAAAATAATTAAGCTTCTATATGTTCTAATTAATGATAGTTAAAAATGTTTAACAGTGTTATACATGAAAAAGTTAACAAATCATTATTATTTAACTATTAACATTAATGAATGGTAGAATTCATTCATATGATGTTTCTATACGAGAGTAAATATTATTGGTAACTTTTTGTAAAGAATATATACTGAGCAGCTGAATTGTTAAGTTATTTTAACTTATAATATAAATCACAATTTGGAAATAAATCCATTAAGAGGATAAAAGATGCCTCTGATATTTTAATGCTTTGCTAATTATTTCGATTTGATCGATTATAATACAAACTTATATAATATACATGTATAAGTCTATACACCAACTGTAAAAATATATATTAAAAAAAAAAAAGTTTTAATAACCCTGTTAAAACCAGTCGGCTGTATATGTAAAGTCTTTAAACATTTGTTGTTCGTCATCTGTCAACAATCTTGGATCTTTGGGTGGTGTCAGTTGTGGTTTTTCAGAAGTAAACTCCTCATCAAAATTGCTCACATCCTCCACAGAACCCTAAAATTGTTAATTGCCAAATTAGATTATTTCGAATGAATAATTTGACGATTTAATAGTAAAATATATACTTACAATTGTAGGAACGAATGGTGGTTTTACTTTTCTTTTTAATAGGTCATCCCAAGAAATTTGTCTGAAAAATGCCTGTTTCTTTACATCTTCTGCATCCCTTTCACTCGATCCTAAACGACGTTCGGGATTTTTACGAAGAAGCTACAACACATGTAAGAATTAATAATTATTATAAATGAACTGTAGATAAACCTAGAAGTATTCAAAATTTCAACAAATGTTAGATACTTTTAATATATTACTAACTTTTATTTTTTGATTAAAAGATTAACATTTAAATACAACTTTTTTAAAATTATTTTTACCCGTCTCATAATTGCGATTGCTTCCAATGATAAATATCTTGGGTACCGAACTTCATCATTCACTATAGAGTCAAAAACTTCTTCCTCGTCATCACCTGGGAAAGGAGACTAATCGCCAAGCAGATTAAACATTGTTTAAATTTAATATTGTGTTTCCAAATATTTACCTCGCCAACAAGCATTTCAAATATAAGTACTCCTAAACCCCACCAATCTACACTACGTGTATACGATGTTTCGGTTAACACTTCCGGTGCCAAAAACTCAGGTGTGCCGCAAAATGTTCCCGTACGATCACCATAGCCCATTCCTTCTTTACACAAACCAAAATCAGCAATTTTCACATATCCATCAGTGTCCAGCAATAAGTTATCCAATTTTAAGTCACTAAAATAATATTAATAGAGAATACAATTTTTTAAATTTTTAAACACAAAATTAGAACATAAAAACCCTACAACACTTACCGATAAATAATACTATTTTCATGTAAATATTGAAGTCCTAAGACAACACACGCTGCGTAAAAAACTGCTCTAGATTCGGTAAATACATCAGCGTGTATATGCATCATTAAATCTCCACCAGCAGCATACTCCATTACAAAACAGACGTGAGCCTGAATATAATACAAATAAATTAACAGAAATTTCAAAAGATATAACTTTTAATATTTAAATCTTACATCTGTTTGAAAGCAAGCAAACAGATTTACTAGGAATGGATGTCTGATATTATTAGCCACTTCAAATATTCTTTTTTCCGATAAAAGACTCTCTACTTCATCTCGAGCTATTATGTCACCTTTTTTCAATGCTTTTATAGCAAAATATTCTTTGGAATTTCTATGTTGGCAAAGTATAACCTTAAAAAACACATGAGATAAAATGAAACATTGTGTTGTTTAACTTGTGTAATAAATAATTCTTACTTTGCCAAAATGACCTCGACCAAGCACACTGAGAAGTCTAAAATCATTCATAGACATCTGAGAGTAACTAGTTGAATTTAACTGACTTATTTTCGACTCAGGTACATGTGCATTGTTTGTATTGTGATGATATGCTTTTGGATCACTCTCCCGGTAATCAAGCACACGTGAAACTGGGTGGCTGAACACCAGTGGAGACTACAAAATATTAATTAATAAATTAAAATAGACATTTTTAAAAATTATTATTTATTATTTAACACTACTTTGTACAAAAGCAAATTTAAAAATAAAGAGTGATCAATTTAACATAAAACACTTGTTTATTAAAAAATAATATTGTATAATTTTACTTTTTGGGAGACATTTTAGTTTGTTATTTTACAAAATTACAACATTAAAATTTTAAACTTTTTTGTTAAATTACAAAGCTCTATCAACATTTGAAACTTGAATGGTAACATACGTGTATATTTTATTACTTTTTAAATTAAGCTTATTTACTACACATTTAGAATAGTCATTAATTAGTTTTGAGTAATTATTTTTTAAGTTATTAAATTTTAAAACTTAGGACAAGAGGAAGGTTGAAGTATAGTACTATTTTTATCTGTGCACATTATTCAACTGCACCCCAACTTACATCTTATATTTTAAAATTTATCAACTTTAAAAGTAATTACCAAAACGGGTTATAAACCAGTTAAAATTTAAGTATTTAGTTATTTAAAGTTTTAAAAAATACGTAATTCCAAATGTTCTCAAAAAAACTATAAAATTGCAATTATTTTAAGTAAACTTTAGTATTTTCCCTTAAATTGATCAGCCCGTAAATTATAATGAGTAAGCACTAGTAATTTAATGTAATCCTATTTATAAGATTATATTTATTAAATATTAAATACAAATCAATCTATTAATGTTATTTGTTGTTAATCAAATTTTTTAATTATTCTAATTATTAATAAATTACTTAATATAGTATGCTGGCAGTTGGAAAAACATAAATAAGCAAAGCTAATAATTATTAATGGGATAATAATTTGAAAATGTGTTATGGAAATATATTTTTTTAATAACTTAAGGTTTTTTTAGTGCACTTTTACACATTCCTATTAGCAAAAACTAAGTATAAAAATATGTATTTATCAAAAAAACATAAAGATATGAAATAAAAGTATAGTTCCTGTAGTTACTAATTATGAAGATAAACCATGAACTTGTATACGTGCATATATACCTTTATAAATTATATAATTGAACAATAAAAATTAGTTATTTTAACATCATAAAAATTAATTATATTATCATTTAGACATTATAATAGAAATGTTTTGTTGCTTTGTGTTCCTTGACAGCCTACAAGATCAATTACACTAAAATTTCTCTTTCTTTATATTATATAAATAAAATAATTAATATTAATATGATTTGACTAAACGTTTGTTACAATAGTAGTTGCTTACTTAAAATGAATAAAAGTATTAAATCTTAACAAATATGCTCAAATTTAAAAATAGAAAAAATATCACAACATTTTATAAATACTGTTATTTGATAAGTATATATCAACACACATTACAAAAACATTCTATCGTACCTTTAAGATATCTACATACCTCTGTAAAAAAACCCACTTGAGATATGTACTCAGCTTGTTAAAAATTATAAAAAAGCATCTAACACATTATTATGATATTTCAATTTATTTATTATTGTACTAAATGGTCATTATTCATTGACATATTGTTAATTTTTAATTATTCTAATGAATCATTTTTTAAAGTCTTTAATCAAATAAAAAACAAAAAAGGAAATTTTATTTAAATCATTTTTTACTAATATTAAACCAATTGTTTGAATTTGTGTTATAATAAAAATGTATGGAAATAATGCTTAGATCTGTATAGCCATTAAAAGAAGATTAAATTATGTGTTTATAACTTTTTTTTTAATTTAAATAACATTCACAATCTGTACATAAAGAAAAGTATACAATAAGCAAATAGGTTAACAATGTAAATAATGACTTGAACGCTACGAGTAGGGAAGCTATCCAGTGATAGGACCCTTAAGACAGGTTTTGGCTAGAAATCAAACAGTGGCATTGTTGTGATTTAGAAGATCACAGCACCAACGTCTTTTAAGACGGCGAGGGCGGTTGTCCGGAATAGTGGCTGTGTGGATTTGAATGGAGAAGTTATCTTGAGTGGAACTTTTTACAGTGAGTCTTAACTAAATTTTCAATTGATACGATGTGTAAGTCGTTGTGAAGGGTGAGGTTGGAAACATACCATGGAGCGGACGTGATTATATGGAGAGAATTGTTTGTTAACTTAAAAATTAGTATGTTTTGTTCATTCTAACAAATAATGATACTTTTGATTGAAGCTTTATTCCAAGAAACTAATTTCTATTTGCAATGTGTGTTAATGTTACAAGCATATACCTCTGTTAATTATCAAAGTAAATCCAAGCTTTAAACAACAATTAATTTAACAGTAAGTTCTAGACTCACAATCAGTAATACATTTATTTTTAATCAAAACCTAAGATATTAATATTAATTGAAGAGTGAATTTGTCAAACGTTCTAAAAAGTATAAAAATTGAACTTTAAAATTTGATTTTTTTATAAATAACTATTCTCACTTGACAAATATACAAAATTGTTTCCTGTAACGCGTGAAATACAAATCAGATTATTAAGGTCAATTTTATACTTGGCACATAGAATAATTGAAAAATTTACTCTTAAATTATACTATTAAATCATTAGCTATAACTCGAATATTAGTATTGCCTTTAAATTTTGGTTTGTTAAAACTTACTGTTTTAAATAACATAAATCATATTAAATAATTCAAATTTTGATAAAACGTCTACTTTTTTTACCTAAGAGAACAAAATTTGAAATACAACCAATTAAGTATGTAATCAATTCATTAAAGAATATTTACTGGATAAAAAATTACTTTTAAAATAATTTGATTAGTTACTTAATCACTAAAAATGTAAAACAAAGCTGAAAAAATACTAGGAAACCCCTAAAAAATCAGCTGAATGGGATCAACTATGGACTAAAAAATAAAATACAATTTTAATAAAAACCCCCATTAAATAGCTAAATGAGGAAACAGATTAAATACATCCTATCTATTTTAAATTAAAATCAAAACATAGAAAATCCTTGTTTCTTCATAAAAAAAAGTCTTTAAAATAAACATTATCATAAGTGTTTCCTAGGATCATCATCAAGATGGAACAAACATTATTTTCCTAAATTTTTCAGATTTTCGATAGAATTTTTATAGTCATTAGTATTTTTAAACATTTAATCTTTTGTGCCTTGTAACTCAATTAAAATTAAGTTTTTAATTAAACAGTATGGTCATAGTTTTTTTTTTTTTTTTTTTTATACTGATAACTTACATTACAATCACTTCTTTTTAGTTTTTTTTTATCTTTGAAAAAAGGTAAAAATTTAAAAAATCTAATTTTTTTCATAAAAATGCTAAAAGCAACATCTAAAAAATATTTTAATTTAAAAAAATTGGGACATTTTTTTTATTTATTAGATCATAGTAAATACTGTCAAAAGAAGGCTAAATATAAATAAAAACATTTTTTTGGTCCACTAGAATAATTATAGATGCTTATATAATAAACATTGAATCATATTTATAAAAGTTGATCATCAAATTAAAATTACATTTCTTATAACTATATTGTTGTTATGCTTAATGCAAGTAAGATTTACTAAAGTGATTATTAGTAATTTTACTTTAAAGAAAAAATTGCTACTGCAAAATAAAATATTAAACAAGATTAATTTAACAAAATCTACTTAATACCCATCTCATGCACTGTGTCTGTAAATAGATGATATCAGGTTATGCACACGTGTTAGATAAGCCTAGCACAGTGGTGTAGGAAGAGTATGTACCTCGTCCTGGGGAAACTCTACAAGAGGAGACGGTTGCGGTGTTCCTATTGTCGAACTGCCAACACTCTCTATGCTTACAGACATGGTCATCACATGTCTCCTACGTTCAGGTGGTAATTTCTGTTGTTCATCGTCGTGTAAAAAGTCAAATTCCTTCAATGCGTTCTGCAGCTATACATATTATACAGTTTACCCGACTCGGTGCATTGATATTTATTTTGATGAACCTTCATGAGTATTGCATATTTTGTACTGACATACTTTAAAGTTATTTTACTAACCTCTTGATCTAACTGTCGTGGAGGCCTTGGGGGTGGTACAGTAGGTGGTGCTGTAGGAATTCTTTTATTAGCAGCCATAACAGCCGAGGGTAGGAATGTAGGAGATCCCGATATTATACTACGTTGTTCAGTAATAGTAGGTGGCAATGGTGGTAGAACAGCCACACCCAAGCCCAATGGTCGAGCACCGGCCAGTCCGCTACTGATACCTGGCTCAGGTGTTTCACCTGGCGTGCACTTTTCTTCAGTTCTGTTGTCTCCACCATCTTTGGGAAAGAAATTTAGAATAAGCCAACAAAAATAACCAAAACAAAAAAATAATTTTTAATAAAATTTACCTGTTGAGCTATCAGAGTGTGAATGTGACCTAGAGTGTTGATGTATGGGAATAGAAGGAGAATTTTGTATAGAAGGTGATGATCGTTTAAGAAGTCTACCCCAGGCAGCAATATTCATTTGATTTGCTCTAGGGAAATTTTTGGCTTGTTGTTTGAAAATTTTACGTTGACGACGCAAACGTGGCTGACGTGATATCATTGGATTCAAGAACTTAATCTAAAATATATTTATTGATGTAAAAACTTTAAATTAAAGATTAATTTTAATGGTATTATTATTAATATAAAAATAATAAATTATTCTTAAATATACCAAAAAATTAGTGCAATAATGGCTTGTGACAATGTGTAACTAAAATCATACCTCGGCAAACAAAAGCCCTTGTGGCTCTAACTGCAAAGCCATACCGTGCCGAATATCATCAATGAATTCTTCGAGTCGTAAAAATTTAATACCACATAATGAACGCCAGTCTCTCCAATATACACCGATTTCCAGTTCTCGAGATTTATCCAAATCAATAGAAAATCTATAAAAACATTTAAAATTGGTTTAAAAATCCATGTTTTATTTTAACAGACTTTAAAAAAAAAAATGAAACTACTATTATTCAATTTTTGAGGTCAAACACAAACAAAAATTTATCAACCGTCATTTCAATTTTTTTTTAAGTAAACTGTAAAACAAATTGATAGTTAAATCTCGAGTACAAATTAACTTACAAATAGTAATAACTAGAGCTAGAATGTTAATGAGTAATGACCATATCTACATTTTAAAATGTCAAAATATGCTGTCATTACATATTTTGAAATTGGCTAAAAAAAATTAGCTAAGATTTCAAATATCTGACTTGACGTAATATAAATAAAATTTTACAAAGGTTAATTTTTTTAAAAAGTTTTTTAAATATCAGGATAACATTGAACTACATAATTTTGGCGATGTTTTGAAATTTAAAAGAACATTGGCGATTATTTTAAACATTTTGGACAATATTTTATATTCATAATGTTTAATACTTTTTCTCACATTGTGTTCAATTTTCTTGCAATATATAAAACAAATAATAAAAGATCAGGAATGCAGTTCATATCAAGAAATGAAGAGGTCAACAATAGAGAAGCATGGACAATTTCTGCAAACCAATCCTTGGTATCCTGAAGTATTAGAAAGTCTTACCTCTGATCCCATGCCTGTTGTGAGCATGATCGCCAGCTAGTCTGTCCAACAGTTTGGTTATCTAATTTAATTACAGCCATAATTTCATCTACAAATAGACAGTTTTTTAATTGCTAAGTATGGATACAAAAAAATAAATAAGCTATTATACTTACTACTAATTTCATCTTTAATATTGTATGATTTACTGGAACTACGTCCTGTCACGCCTTTCACAAATGATTTCAAATCTCCGGGATTATCTTTTTCTCGTCTTGACCTGCCTGGCACTTCTTCTAATAGATCCTGACAGCCCATTAACCTACACAATGTTACAGTTATGTAATCTGAGGCTATTACACAATATTTAACACACTGTTCTACTAACCTGACTTCAAGTTTACCAGTAACTGCAGCACAACGTGATACACTAGCTTTTTCAGGTATTATATTACGCTCAGCTTTTAGGAATGGCTGTAAACTAACATACGCGTGATTTGGCGTGGGACTAGCAGCTTGAGCATTTTGAAGTTCTCTCACTAATTGAGCAGCTGTGGCCGAGTTTGCAGGCAACTCTTGGCGTCGCAGCTCTAGAGATCTTCTTAAAAGGTCCAACTTATGGCTAGATTCGGAAAGATTTGATTGTGCCTAAAATAAAATTATGAAATATTTAATAAAATCATGTAATACACAACATTGCATAATATAAAACTATTTTGGTTTTTTGAAAGCGGTATGCATAATAATTATTTTAGGCTTGTGTCCCCCAAGAAGAACAAAACAAATATTTATCTCATGCATATGCATATTTTAAGTTTATTTATTTGAAAAGTTATATTTTTATAAGAAAAATCAATTAAATATATTATATTAGTTTTCTTCGAAAAATTGTGTTAACAGTTATTTATTATTTAAAAAAAAAACTAATATCAGAAACTTTTAGGTTATCTAAAAAAGAAAAATTTCAGTACCTTGAAAACGGTTTATAATTTGGATGTCAGTTCAATCAATAATATGGTAAAATAAGTTTAATTAGACCAAACATTTAAAAATATTGACTTATTACATTAAGCATTCTTATGTAAATAAAACTAATGGTATGGTGAGATTAAAGATAAATTAAATATTCTATAACATAGCATTAATAAGTAATTTTAAATAAACTAATATATCCCTTTGAATATAGGTCATTGCCGTTTCTCAAGAAAACAGGCTAAATCTTCATGCAAATGTTTAAATATTTAAATTAGTATTCAATTCACGAACAGCTATTTCAAATTATTTAAAAAAACACCCATTTTATTATTAATTATACTTAATTATTGTGTGCTATATAATATTTGGGATTTTATTTTGAATAATTAATTCAAAAATGTATTTTCATACTGTTATATTATACTATCTGGAAATAGAAATAATTTTTTTTTAGCACAGTTAAATTGGAAAAACGCCAATACATTTTTGAGTATGCAAGTGAATTATATTAGTTTTACTCAAATGTTATTATTTTTATAACAATAAACAACACATACATTTTAATCAATGCATAATTTTTTTTTAATTAAGCATATTTGAATTGTGATATTATAATACAACTTTTATAATTCTAACTGAACACATTTTTGGTTGATATTGCATTTAATATTATAATTAACCAATATATATATTTTTTTTTTTTACAATTTCGTTTGTTTAACTAGACTTTATAGACTTTTTAAAGTAATTTAAATTTTTTTGTGAATGATATTTAAATATATTCAAATTATATAATGTTTTATACTCAAGACAAATCATGACCTTAGGACAGGAGATTGAACAATATCCCCACCATCTAACACAGTTGCATCTTGAGTTGATGCCAGTTTTGTATTCGCTATTGATAGTAGTCTAGTTAGTATACGTTAGAATCAGCACAGAGGTACTTTTTATTAATATATAAAATGTTTTAAATGTTTAGTTAGTGCAGCTTGAAAGTGTATATTATATTAAATAAATAAAAAACAAATGGAAAATTATACAAAAAATACAAGAGACAATAGTTCTTGTTTACCACACGATTGGTCTGTATATGCACTTGTAAAATTGAATCAACAGTCGGGTCTTAAACTATCACACCAAGAACCACGTTATGGATTTAAAAAGGGGAACATTGTGTTTACTGCTGAACCTCAATCAGGTCATGATTCAGGGATAAGTAGTTATTCTCAAAGTTCAGAATGTGACAGCTCATTCAATATAGCTCCACAACAATGTGAAGTTTGCTGTGGTATAAGAAGCCCAATGTCAACCAGAAGGGCACAGTGTTACACTGCACATTTTTGCACCAATGTACAGTCAAAAAAAAATCCAGGAACTATGAACGTGTCAAGTCAAACATCTCCTTCTCCTTCGATCGTTTTTAATAAGGTAATACAATATGCTAATCACAGATTTTATTAATACTTTAATTAACTGTCTGTTGTCATTAGGAAACTAACAAGAAATTGGTTAAAAACCAAAAGTGTGACAAACATAACAAACATCAAGCTAGAACAGTACACATTGATGTGTATTGTACAGAGTCCTCTTCAGATTCAGATGAAATTTTGGGGTATAACTCTTCAGACACATTACACGAAGTTTCAGATATAAAAATAAACTGCAGAAGAATATTGAAAAAAAAACGCATACTTCAACAAAGTGTATCAAAATCATCTTGCCAAAGTATGTTACAAAGAAGTCCTGGTTTATCAATGCTAAATTCAAGAAATACAATGACAAACTCGTCTTTTATAGAGTCTTCGAGTTGTGGGTTATCTTCAATATTAGATTCGAGTTCATTTCAGAATAGTAGTTTCTTAAGCACAGATCTCGATACTAGACAGTCACAAATTTATAATGATACGACAAGTAGTTCAGACGATGAATGTTCAGAAACGGCATGGAGTTTTAACAGAATGAATTCGTACAAAAATGAAATTTTATCTAGACGTCCGTGGTTTAAACCAGAAAATGACATGAAAGACACGGGAAACTTAAGCGACTGTTCACAATCTCCTTTTTATCGAAGACAAAATTCTATTAATAATGCTACTCAAGTAGCAAAAATAGCACTTAAGTTTGGATCAGCTAAATCACCAAAAAAAGATGATCATCACGTAGGTCCATCAAAAAACCCAGATTGTTCGTGTTTTAATTGTCGTAGACATTTCAGTTCTAGACAACGTTCTTTATCAATGAGAAATGAAACTGAACTATCAGATTTGCAAAAATTATTTAGAAAATGTCTTTAAAAATAATACAACTATTTTTTGCATCAAAATTAAATGCGTAACACTTTATATACTGTTTTCTTATTTGGTATCTATTAAAGTTGTATGCTTATTAAAATGTCTAAATGGGACAACATTTAATGTATATTTATATTTATTTTATGTTAATTAATGGCTACAATAACACCCAAAATATAAAAAAGCTAAATATTTAGTTTTTAATAAATAAGATATTGAGCATTGCATATTTTTAAAAAAAAATTGTATATCAAAACATCTGCCCTATGGGAACTTATTATACCTGTTAAACCTAGAAGTCAATATAATTGGTTGGTTCAAACAAAGTGAAATAACGCTTGTTTTCTCACAAATGGAAAATATGTTAAAATTACTTATTTGTATGGTTGCAGTATAAAATAGAGATAATTAAGATAAGACTATGTGTAACCAGTAAATGTCATAAAATATAAGTGTATAGTTAATATATTCAAATACAAACATTTCACAATTATTCATTGATACTATATTCATAAATTAAGAACTAATTAGTATTTACTAACTGGTTTATGGTGAGTATAAAACCGGTGACCTAGATTTAGATTTAAATATATATTTTAAAAACTACTAAAATAATGAGTACTATATTACTATAAAACCAAGTCTTAACATAAGTGACATTGCTTAATATTAAGCAAAATAATAATTGATAGTGATTTTCTTACAGACTACAAGTACGAATGCAAATAAACAATTTTGTATAAAATATTTTGCTGAAAATGTAAAAACTTATACATATAACATATAAAATACAAATTTCCAATTTTATTGTAATTTCAAAAAGTATATTTGCACTAAAAACATACTTAATATTTTAAAATGTATTTTACAAAAATTTGTAAATACATTGAACTGAAGAAAAAAAAATTAAAACCTTTACAGTGACTACTTTATTTTATTAATATGATGATTTTTTTTTAATTTATTTATTCCTACTAATTATTTTTGATATTCATTTAAAGTGGTGTAGAAAAAAAGCTGTTCGCTCATTTAAAATAAAATCAATGTAGTAACATACCTCTTGCAAGGCCTTTTTTTCTGCAACTTTTGAACTTTGGAGTGTTCTAATGACATTTTTCGCCCCTTCAACAACCGCAGCTTCTATTCGCAACCGATGTCTTAATTCAGCAACACGTTCTTCTAACGGAGTTTCTAAACGTGATTCAGATTTATCTGTCAAAATGAAAATAATTAAAAATATTCATCAAACTTAACCAACCTATAAAGCTTAAAAAATAAATTGGCAGTAAAAAGATTGTCAAAAATCTATTAAAAACAACAAGTTTATTTAACACCAATAATGAACTTAACACAAATGACCCATCTTAACAATAGAGTTCTAAAATATAATATGGTCTTCCTACTTACAAATAATAAGCCCACCAACTAAATTTATATACTTCATACATCAAAAGTTAATGAACTGTATAATATAAAGTATTTATAATAAAATTACAAGTGCAATAATTATGAAATGCTATAAAAAAAAGTTGCATTGTAGAGAGAGAAATCACTATTAATAATAGGTAACTATAATAAAGGTTTATCATAGGTTACTGGGTAATATAAATATTATTTTATGTTTTAAACATGATAATATAAAATATTTCCTTTTAAAATATCTAAATTTTAGGTAAAATGAACTAAAAATATCAAAAATGTAGAATGAAAATTACTAGCTATTTAATTATAAAAAGTTAATTTAACATCACATAATAGTTTTGTATAGAAGTGGTTAAAAATGTTCACTTTATCGCCCCACACATGTAAATAACATTCACTTATTATTTATTATAACAGTGAAATTAAACACAATAGTCACAGAGTACAAAGGTACTATAACTTTTATGTTCTGAAAAAACATACGAGATAAGCTATTGGTCATGTACTTAGTATTATTATAGATTAAATATACATAAATAAGCCATGACAATATGAAACACGACCACCAAATTTAAAACAAATGTAAGTGAAATAACAAATGTAATAAGCAAGGCTACATCCAAAATCTGGTTGCCAAAAAAGTAATCTAAGTGGACTACCTAAGTATGTTTTGTCTATGATATTAACTTATTATCTCAAGTTAGATAAAACCTTTATCTGTGTTATCATAATAAGTATTTAAACAAAATATATTATTGGCTATACATTTAGAATTTTATAAAATTTTATTTAACTAGGATTTTAAAATTATAAAACAAACCATTTTTATTTTCACCGTTTGATTTCATTTCTTCTTTTTGCTGCTTTGTTTGTTTTCCTTTTAAAATTGCCATCCTCAAGTACTCGATTTTAAGCTTAGAATCAGACAACATTTGTTGTGCATCAGCTAATAACTTCTTGTCACGTGAATGACTACTACTTAAACTCTGAATCATATTTTCAGCTCCTTGTTTGACCTAGCAATATGAATCATTAGTAATGTAATAGGGTTTATCATAGATCAAATATTATTTAAAGAATTTGATATACTTTTAACTCAATGTTCAGTTGTTTTTCAAGTTGAACAAGCCTTAGATCACTAACAAAATTAGATTCGTGACTTTGGCTAGGAGATTGGCCCAGAAATTGAACAGGCGGAACATCTAAAACAATATAAATTTAATGATAAATCATTTTTATTAGAATTTAATATGGACATCCTCTTACATACTAAAATGGCCATCGTGTAGCAATGGTAAAATATACATTTTTAAATGTGTTAAATCTTTTAAGAGACCTGATCTTTTACTGAGGCGGTCTTCCGGGCATTTTCAGATGTTTTTGAGGAACTACTTCTTGACATTTTATTAAAAATTTATCTTTGTAGGCTCGTTAAAAAGAAAAAAACTAATTTTTTGGTGCTTCATGCAAGAAAAGCTTTTACATTCTTTTTGACATTTTCATGTCTTAGCTCTGGCACATAGCCGAAAAAAATGTTACCAAAAAAGCGTAACCAAAAATGCGTTAGAACACGGATATGAGGTTGGGGTTGGGGGCTGCAAATAAGGATGGGGGTAGGGGTAAGAGATAGGAGATAGGCATAAGAGATATGAGATAGGGGTAAGAGGATAGGGGTAGGGGATAGGAGATAAGAGATAGGGGGTAAGAGATATAAGATAGGGGTAGAGGGTAAGATATAGGAATTATGAGAAAGGAGGTAGGTGATAGGGAGTAGGGGTAAGGGTAGGGGGGGCGAAATTTATTCGGTGGTTGCAGCATCGGCGGAAAATTTTCCCTCTCTCCATCAATATTTTAAAAAAACAGACACGAATGTAATAGAACATGTAAAGAATATAAACAGCCTAATATTTTTCTTAGATTTTGAAAAAATTATCTTGCATGACAAAAACCTTAATTTTACAGGAAACCAGTGAAGGAAATCAGTTTTTGAGAAAATTATACAGCGATTCCAACCTCATACATTTGTATTATCAAAACAAAACTGAATGCAGATTTAAACAAAAACTATATTTAAATATATTTTTTTGGGAGGACTCTTAAAAAGTAATAATGTGGTTAAAAATGCATGCGTCAAAAACTAGTTTATACATATCTAAATACTTTTATAGTTTCTTTGTCTGAAATATCCATTTACATAATATTATACAATTAAAAATCAGGAACATTATTAAAATATTGTTTTTGTTATTTATAAAAAAGAAACATACAATTAACTAGTGGATACTTTTTTTTCTATAGCAAATTAATATTGCTTAAACCATAGAACATTTCAAGTTATTTTAAATTAAAATACATTTGTTTTATAAGTTTTCAAAACAGTAGGATGGAAAAAATATAAATACATAAATTATTAACAATGGGTATTTTATACTTTATTTTCTCACCAACCAGTGTTATAATTTAGTTCACATGAACAAATAATAATAATGAGCTGGTTAGTCTTCCTGTTTATTTACTATGGAGAATAAGGCAGTCATTATCAGATAACTTGAAATACTAATGCTTGAAGAAATTTCTTTAAAAATTGTTAAAAATACAATTTATAGTTAAGTGTACAATCCAATTTAAAGTTTAAATATTTTTTTTTATTAGGGGCTCCCTTGGCTAAGAGGTAAAATACACATATAGGCAATATTTGAAAAATAAGTGGTTTTAATCAGCTTTGACCATATTAATTTATAAAATTATTGAACCTTTGATATTTATTAAATATTCGCTATTTACACTATTTACATATCTTACGGTCATTCCCACTTAAATAGATTGACTGGTCTGCTAATGTTTCGGGATACTTCACATCCTATCTGCAAAGCTGTGAACTACAGTTCAATGTTGCTTGTATCGGGGTTTCCTGTAGACAAACAGGACTAGGAATGTGCAAGTATTCCAAAAGCTTGACAGATAATCTATTCAAGTGGGAGTAACCGCAAGATAAGTAATTAGTGTTATCAGTGTGAATATTAATTTATTTTATATTAAATTTGTGTAAGCTTCAGAGTAATATTTATAATTTACAGTTATATATGATTTTTTTTCTAAGTAATAACCATTTTGGTGTTAAAAAATTAATTTATTAATTGGGGACAACATCCAACAGTACAGTACAACCAACGCTGTAGAAAATCATTCTATGTTGAACATAATTATTGAAATAGGACAACTCTACAAAGCATGGAAGTATTTCTCGAAAACATGATTTGAGTCAAGACCAGATCGCACCTAAGCCTCTTTAGTCAAAAGCCATTGTAGCCAAGCAAAATAAAATATAGACATAAAAATTGAAGTCGATAATTCCTTTAATTTGTTAAAAAATAAATAAATATGAAAGGCCTGTCATAAGTATTTTTTAGTTGCTAAAGTTTTAACTAACAAAAACTGTTATGGTTTTTTTTAAATAAAGGTGTAGTACACAATAAAATAATTTGTTGTATAGCCTATTCAAATCTATTTGATTTATTTTAGTTAATCAATTTTTCTTAAACTATAATATTACTTAAATTTGTTTCAAAAATAAATGTTTTAAATAATTTTTAAATTAATATGTTGGAACCCTACAATAAAAAATAAAATTTAAATGAATAGGAGTACCTATATTTTCAAGTATTTAAATTTTTTGTTAAAAACGTTTTTGTAGTGCAAAGGAGAGAGAAAATAAGGAATAATAAAATAAGTTTAAGGGTAACGGAATGAGCTATTTATTAAGGGACAAAGGATAGGCAAAATTTGACAAAAATTGATCAAGTAGCTATTCCAAATATGCTGACTAATTTTAAGCTGAAAAAATATTGAATGTTTTTTATTATAAGACTAGGACTTTTCTGTCATTTTCTAGCGTATCGATTGGACGTATTGCAATTTTTTTTTTAATGAGAAGCTTATTATTTTTACTAGAGGCTGATACAGCTATTCAAAAATTTGTCACGTTGATTAGAAAAAACTATAAAAAAGTAAAAATATAAACACTTAAAATACAATTTTAAAAACAAAAATATAAAATTGGTCTTTTATTTAGTTCCCATAGAGAAAAATGGTAAACTTTATACTAATAAAATAAATTTCAAATCGGTTCGGTAAATACTTCAGAAAGTGATTTCATGTGTCTTTATTGTATAAAATATGACACTTTCCTTAGCTTAGTACTGTCAAGTGTCAGTAGGTATATATTTGTGTGTATTTAATTTTAATATCTTACTTGATGAGTTTCTATCAGATGACCCATTAGTGCCTGACATTCTATGAACACCAGTTGTAAAGGAATTATTTGTTGTCCCAGAACACGGTTGTTGTCCTGTTCCATGACTTAGTATAATGTGTGATTCTAATTCTTGTAGCTCTGCTTGTAATTCTGCAAGTTTAGTGTTAGACTTTTTTACAATATCTGTGACGTCAGATAAAGACTTGCGATCAGTGACAACTTCTCGTAATTTTTCAGCTCCTTCTTTGATTTTAAGTTCACGTCGAATTTCTCTTCTAATAGTTTCTTTAAGTTCATCTAACCGGGCAGGTGTTAGAGCATCAATACCAGATAGATCAGGTCCTGTACCATCTACATTCGCTGCAACGAGACCATACTTAAATCCTAATTCATACAATACTGGATTGCATATATATTCACCCTGAAAAAATAATAAAATAATGTCACAGATGTGAAATATACAAAAAAAAGCTAATAATTTAATGAATTGAACAATAGTTATTTAGTTTAATTTTATTCAATAGTTTGTTTAGTTTATTTTTTATTTTAGATAATATTGTAAATTAAATAATGTTAAAATTAAAATTGTATCCTGTAGACTGGTTAATCCTAATTAATAAAATTTGTTTATCATAGCAATAATAATAAATAATGATATTAAATATTATATAATTAATTAATTGCCTATACTAAGCTTCTTAATAAATAAGGGTTTAAACATCCTCTTGACACAATATAATATTACTTTGAGCCAAGTAAGCGGGTTTTTATTTTTTTTTGAGGAAGTGCTAATATTATATTTATAGCATCATGAATTTTGATAAAAAAAAACCAACGCTGTAAATTGTATGGTTGTGTCACTTCAATTCTTTGAACTAAGATGTTTAATAACAAATAAAACGGATCCCTTCAATTAGGTATTTAAGTCATATTATTATAACTTATAATACTACTTTTTATAAAAACCCTTGTAATGTTGTTTTTTTTTAACTACATGATGAATAATTTAGGCTCAATGCCAAGGTCATCCTAATTCGTTATAATTTTATATTTTCTTGTTTTATATAATAGATGTATACTAATAATTAAGCAAAAATTAGTTAAACTGAATTTAATACTAGCTGCTAACTAACCAAAAATTGTATGATTATTTTGATCGGGTTTTCAGTTTTAATATAACTAAGAAAAATTACATACTTAACTAAACTAATATGATTTTTTATTTTTAAACATTACATGTTATTGGAATTCATCCAATATTCTAGTTATAAAAGCAAATAATTATATTTATCACGCGTTAAGTAAAGTATATTTATTTTTATATTTTACTATAAAAGTATGAATATTAGTCTATTTCAGAAAGTCTTATTTGTTGATGCCATTATCATTTTACTTTAACAAGAAACAAAAATAAATAACACTTTTTTAACACAAAGCTATTTGATTTTGTACATTAAAAAATGATAACCATCCAAATATTAGTAACAATTTTGCTTCTGATTATAACTATGATAAACCAGTAACAAAGGATTATACAGTAACTAATCTCACTCCTACGATCGAATACAAATTCATGCTCTAGTTTCCAATATAATTTCTCAACATTATTCAACAATTACCAATATCATTGATTTGAGAATGTTCAGATAAGCGGTGCTATACTCAACAATAATAACAGATTTCATGTGGGATTCCCGCTAGCAATGGAGGTACCCTCATCAGTTTACCATCCGCACGTCCTTAAACTATGACAAGGATACCTACGTTGCCAGTGGAAATTATACATGAAATTTGTTCTTAATTTTTAGTGTATAGCACCGCTTATCTGTATATTCTAAAATCAATGCCTATATTATATAATATTAGAGTACAGAATTATACTTAACAAATCAATATGTAAACTTATATCATAGTAGTTATAGCCATAAAATATGTATGTGTAAAATCAAGATAAGAAAAACGTAGAGTAGAAATGTAGTTTTGTTTTTAATATTTACTATCAGTTATTAATTGAATTAGTTGAAATTTATTCAACAATTAGTTCCAAAACAATAAATTTAATATGAAAAAATATTCACCCATAAAGCATCAAACAAATACCAATATTTTAAACCAATTTAATAGGTACATGAAGTAAATTTTGTTCGAACCTTATCTTAAAATTAAAATAGCTTATAAGCCAATTCAAATATATAATTTTAGACATTTGAGTAGGTATCACAAGTTTTACTTCTTATCACTTGCATAGTGTAACGTTGTTATGCCAAATTAGATGAATGTTTATTAAGGATTTAAAGGATTTCGTGACCCTTAAAAATCAAATAGCAGCCCAAAATAAGCCTACTTATATTTAATTTATCGATATTTCTGTGGCCTATTCCTAGAACACCTAAGTAATATTATTATTACTACTGATTAGATTGTGTTTTTAAAACTGTTCATAAATTATTTAAAGAAAAGATACTAATGAAATAACAAGGCAAGTCAAAATTCATAAAAGAAAATGATTTGGAATAAAAGAATAATTGTTTAAACATTCGTATAGACAGATGAGTTAAATACAATGTTTAAGCCAAAAAGAAACCGTGTAATCAGTTAGGAGTTAGGACAGCAAGCTCAAAATATCCCGTGCAACAACCTTGAACTAAAATATTTAGTACATAGGTTCTATGGGTTAACCACCAAATTAGACTAGCACTCGACCCAAAACGGGGATGCAGAACGGTAGCGATTTTCGATAGGATTTACATAATATCAAAATGAAGTGTTTAGCGTTCAGCGGCACTTTTGTCAGGTGAATGAACTTACCTGATAATACTCGGCCATTTTCCACCAACCAAACACCGCCAAAAATATAAACAATAATTATTATTGTTGCAATCAACTACGATGCGACCGCTCAGACGTCAGACATTACCAACCGGTTGACAAACGTTTTCACGGGACGACCGACGATCATTTCTTCAGCGGCCACCGTTTGCGCGTATATCGGCACACGAACACCATTTTTTCACTCGCATACACACGGGACAGAGTAGGGGCAAAACAAACACATAGACTCTCGCACAAGCAATAACCGATGGAATTTGACGAATGGCTAGACTCGTCTGGTTCTCGGCCACACTCCGAAGTGTCTAGTGAGTAGCGACTAGCCACTCTCGAGATCAGAGATGCGCAACCGCAATACATGGTGCGCCGAACACCAAAAACAGTGCTGCCACCATGTATACATTTTTTTCGATACATTACGAGTGTTAGATACTGTAAAGTGTAAAAAATGTAATTATAATATACAAAATATGTATTTTTTAGTAAATTAAAATTAAAAAATGACAATAATAATAATATTATTAAAATATTTTTAAAACTGAAAAGTTTGAATAATATAAAAGGAGAATATTTCAACTCAATACTCCCAAGACATCGAACAATCGATATTCTTGAAACGAGTTTTATTAACCTTTTCAACTTTTTATTCATTTATTTATACAAAAAATCGTATAATTTGTACTCAAAACTTAACTAAAATTTACTTTATCACCCACATACCTAGACAAGGTAAAGTTTTTTTCAATCAATAGGATTCTTTCTCTTGATAAAAAAATAAGTAAAAAACTATTTGCGTAGAACTTGAAAATATTATAATTTATACTCATTCAGTTTTAAATTAGAATTACACTACCAACGCGTAAGCACGTTATACACATAATAACTCTTTCCGGTTTTTATAGATGTTACCAGTTATACATGTTTTTATAAATATGATAGTGATGCAATTTACAATCAAACTAATATAACGGTTTTAATATTATTTCGAACTTACATATGTTTTCCAACTTTGATTTTAAAGCAGAAACGTCTTCTTATTGGTCTCTTTCTAACACGACCATATGGAAACACTCTGAATCAAAAGAACTTAGAATTGTAAAATGTAACACAAAATCCTACCTATAAAAAAATCTGTTCTTTATATGCATAATAATTAATTAGAATAATCTAATTATGTAAACGTTAAAATTTTTATATTTATGCTTAAATATATTTTGTCATATCAACGAGTTTTTAATAAAAAGTTATATTTTTATGTAAAATTTATGTTAAAAACAATAAAGTTTTGTTGGTCAGGCTTACTTTTAAGCCTATAAACAAAAACTTCTTATACTCTGCGAGTTTGTTATTGATAATTACAATTGTAATTTAAAAGCCATAGGGCGAACTGTCGAAATAAATGCCATGAGCATTATTTTTTTTTACATTTTAATTTTCTCAGAAAGAAAATAGTTTTGGCGGCCAATATACCTACCTAAATTACCTAATTTTACCTACCTACCTCGGACCTCCATTAATTAATGTATTTTTGCTATTATTATGTCATCATCTATGTTGGTCAGTTTTTTTATTTATTTTTGTTTTGTTTGTATGTTTTTAAATTTTATACTTGTTAATTGCACATCTTGTTTTTTTAGCATTAGGTTAGAATATATGAAGGCCCCGGTGCAATAACCAGGTACGTCAATTTTTCAAAACTGTTCAGGAAACATAAAAAACTTTCTATAAAATTGGTAAATGAACCAAAAATTAAAAATGTGGTGTTATTCTTTTTGTAAGAATAAGATACATCAATTAAACCCATTTCCTTTGGTTTACATTTTATACTTATGATAATATTTATAAAAACAAAAAAACTATGATATTTATATTTTCAATGGTTACAATAACCAGTTACGTCCAATTTTGTTTTTTGACATAACTGGTTATTGCAGCCAACTAATTAACACAATAATTTATTGTAGTAAATAAGTCATCTATTATTAGTATGTACGTTAAATAATAATCATATAATTTTTTAAATAAATAGTTAACTAGAGATTAAGTCTTTGGAATAATATAATCACATAAGGTTATTTAATACAACGTCCCTTAATGCATCAACAAAATAAAGTTTAAAGTTGTTGGGAGCAACAACCAGTTACGTCCAGACATACCTGTTTATTGCACCCAACAAAAATTAAAAAATCAGTTTTTATTATTTTATTTCAGTACTATTCATTGGACGTATTCGGTTGTTGCACTAATCGAAAGAGATTTTTTTTCTCAACATTTCTATATCAAAACACGATTTTGAAAAAATGTGGGCATACCTGGTTATTGCACCGGGGCCTTCATATGTATTTTTCACTGTTCATTCTTTGTTAACTGTTATCAGTGTTATTTTGTTTATTATTTAACTTTATGGAAAGCCGATTTGCGTTTATTATATATATAAATATATAAAATATTAACATAAAATATAAATATAAAATATACATGGCTCGTAAAGCCTAAACAAACAAATATTAAAATTTTTCTCTAATGTACATAGAGCTCAAAAATAAAGAATTAGGCAATTTCTGGCATTATCAAAAATTCAAAGTTAAAAATAAAATATAATAAAAAAACATGCCTTATAAGAAAGAAATTTAGGAAAAATTTTTTTTTTTTTATTATTACTCTCGGCAGCAAAGACCATTGGGTTACATTAGACTATATTAACATAAAATACAACACATTGAAAAAGTATTGAAATTGCCTAACTGATTCATTTTTTTATTTTGTTTGAAGATATTTGTTCGGGAGGTTTCTGTCAATAAATTTCCATCACTCTACTCAAGAATAAAATGGAAGTTTGAATTAGTTCTCTTTCCCCAGCGACAAATGGAGAAATTAAACGAGTTGTTATAATTACTTTTCAATAGAACGATTTTTTTTTATTCTTTATAAAAATAAGTAATAATACTCATTTTAAATTCTGTCTGTTCAGCAATAATAATCGTGTTTAGGTATATTATGATTTATCAATAACATTTTGTTTATATTAGTAAAATCAATTATAGATATATTATAAAGACACAAATTATTCGTTAAACTTATCCCATCTTAATTTATCAACTTTGGTTAGGAAATAGGCCTAGACTAGTGGTAGGCAGTAGACATGTGAAACTTGCAAGTAGGTATTTGTTACAAGAAGTTCAATAGAATAAAAAATTACATAGTAGCCGACAGTTGTGATCAGCGAAGCCCGACGGCGACAATAGACTTTTATGCCTTGTGGAAATCATGAGATGACTCATGGCTGTTATCTTTGTTGTACGGCACTACGATGATAATGTTTCCAAACCTGATAAGCTAAGGCCGTTGTTTTGTCGTTGATTGCGTATGTTGTTGTAGGGCAATTCTCAACAGGTGTTTTTGTGATAAAAGCATTGTTGAATAATTGTGCGACGGAATATCATCTACGTTCTGAAAACTGCTGTGTAGATCGTTCTCATTAGAAAAGTTCCATTGGAGTATCGTATTCGAGGTAAATAATATTATTTCGCTATTAATAAAATATTTTTTTAGTTTAACCATACAAACGTTACAGTAGTAAATCGGTTAACCGTATAATTTCTTAAATATTATGCTCAACTATTGTTTGAAATATTCAATCTATACTTAATTATTTTATGAAAAATATTCATGTGGTATATTGATATATAATATATTGGAATATCTCGTGTCAGATATTTGTTAAGATACTGACTAATTATTATAATTTTTCTTTATTAAAATGTATCATGTTTAAACAATTCTAGAAGTTAAAATTGTTAAAATTTTGAATGTCAATTTAACAATATTACGATTTTTGCAAAATTATTCTTTTTTGATTTGGTTTTGAATGTCACAAAAAACTTTAAATTATTCATGTTTATTTAACTTTACCTACTTGTATTTATTCTAAGTAATATAATTATATTAATTTTTAAAATTTAGAATAATAATTGTTTTAAAATTGATGTTCAATATATTGTCGTTTTTAATAACTCATTGCTAAAATAGGTGTGACTACGATAATTATAAATTATAAATGCTGGAATATTATGATAGATAGCACTGTAGAAATTCTTTTTGGGATTGACAAACAATTTTGTCACCCATATTATGGGAGGAAATATCTTACAGATTTAATGGGAGTAATGAAGTGTCAAGTTGTTAGGTTAAAAAATATAGTCTATTTTCTAATTGAATTTGTAATTTATTTATTTGAGATGTTTCTTTTTATTATTAATTTTACACACTGTATTAATGCAATAAATAAATTTAATATAGGTACTATAGAATTCGACAGCACGCCTAATTGAATGGATGTTCTGTGAAATTACTTCTAAATTAAGATCAACACTGCTCATTAGACTATGGAAAAATGTAAAAATTGTTTTTCTTCAACTTAAAATATGTCACTGCGTATGATTGATGTTATTGTAATTATCTGGATATCTGCAGTCTGACCTCTAATAGGTAATCATTAGCAAATACATTATAATTATGTTATTTAAAATAATTATTCTTGTATTCTTGTAATTTATCTTGTAAATTCTAATGTTATCAAAAATGTGTTTCTTTCTCCATTATTGACAATATGTATTTTATTGTATTCTGTGGAACTCTCTCGATGTAAGTTATCTAAGAATTTTTTAATTTTGTTTTTGTTTTTATGTCAACTTATTCTGAATCAACTAATTCTAAGAATGCTTTTCATCATACCTATTAAATTTATTAATTGATAATAGTTCACAGTTATTTTAGCACAAGTTCTTTAATTATCTATTTGAATTATATTGATCAATTTCTAGTCAGTGATTTAGTTTGTGTACTGTCTTATCTATGGTATGCATGAAAACATTCCATAATAATAGTAATTTAATTATATAATTTTATGTGATCTTTCATTGTATTATAGGTACACGTGATTATAATAGTTTTAATTTATAGATGAGTAATGGAGAATCACGATTATCGCCCAACACCACCTCCTAGGAATAATATACCAAAAGAATATTTGAAAAAGAAGCCAGTTCCATTGCCGCGCAAGAATGTGAACACTGAAACTTCAAATGGTAGCTCAAGAGACAGTTCTTATTTGATTATTAAAGAAGAAATAAATAGTCTGTACAAAAGGCATATTAAACCAGAAATGAAATCGGTCTCAGGAAATGTTCAAGAAAGAAAAAAATCAGTGGTAGAAAATACTAAAAATGTTGGTATTCGTATTGAAAAGTCATTTCGAAGTTTGTTGCCAAGACCAGCCCGGCGCCATACTATTAGTCAAACATCTGAAGAATTTAAACAAGACACCTCAAGTGAATCTCCAGTTGATAATGATATATTTTCTTCCCTCAGTTTTGATTCTCCCATTCCATCCGACAGTAATTCAGAACGTTCATTCAGTACTTACTATGCAGAATCAGACATTTGTTGTTCTCAGCCTCCCAACTTTCCTCCGCCTCCTTTACCTAACGATATTATATATGATAAAATACCTTCCTCGAGTAATTCCAGCAGCCAATGTGAGTCCAGTGAGAATATATACGAGCTCGTTTTAATTGGACAACCGAAACCATCAACAGAGTCTCCATATGAAAACTGTCATAATTTATTAAAGTCTAGAACAATTAGTTCAAGTAACATAAGCAGTAATAGTGCTGAAACCACTTGTACCAAGTCTGATAATGTGTATCCTACTAATGAGATAAATGATGAAAAAGTAAGTGATACCAAGTCTGTTATGTTTCAATTTGATCCCTTTGAAAATAATGTTAATAATGAAGCAGATAGAAGTAACGAAAAGGAAGAGAGTTTGTTATTACAAGAAATTGATGAAATTTTATACCCTTCACGCAATAGCACTATTGAAACTAGAAGTTTAACAGAATATGATTTCAAGAGTTTAGATGATGACTTATATAGTATACCAGACCCACCAGAACGTGTGGACTCCATAAAAGATTTTAATAGTTCTGCAATAAAACAAAATGCTGATGTAGTTGATATAGATGCCATGTTGAAGACTGAACTTCCAGAAGAGATGACATTTTATGAAAAGTCAAGAAAAAGTTCGATAAAAGGTTGGATTAGCATGAAACAAACTTTTAAAAAAGTTACAGAAGGATCTACAGGATCAGTTCGTAGAATACGTTTAAAATTAAAACCAGAAGAATATAATGAAAAAGAAGTAACTGAAGATGAGAAGCAATCTAGTGTCTTTCATAATGGTACATTATATATTGGTGCTAATGAAAAAACTAAAGATTTAGAAAAAAAATGGTGTCAAATTACTGGCGATCAGCTCAGGTATTCAAAGAATAAAAGTCAAGTTGGTACCACAATATCATTAACTACACTCTCAAGCATTCAGATTGTAAATGAATCCAAAATAAGGTAATAATTTCATTAATACATTTATGATTAATATAAAGACTGCTTTATTAGTTTTTATTTTGGGTAAAAATACAAATAATAATTTAATTTATGGTAAAAAATATATTTTTTGAAAAATGGTTTAGCGGGGGACAAAAATGTGAAGTCAGTATTTACAATAACCATATTTAGTTTTTTAAAAACTTTATTTGTAAAGACTCATTTTTTCATTTGTTTATAAAAAAATATTAAGTATAGATATATATATAAAAAAAAAAAAGGCTATGACATAAATAAAGTTTTCTATACATTGCGAAAATACTTATCCCGCAAAAAGCAGTTTGAATGGGGAAAAAATTGTAATTTATCCTATAGAAATAAATAATAATAAATAGTTTCTGTAAGATAAATTACAATTTTTTTCCCATTAAAACTGCTTTTCGCGGGACAAGTATTTTAAAAATGTATATTTTTTTATTAATAAAGGCATTGAAAAAAAAATCCTGTAGAAATTACTGTGATAGTCTGACAAAAAAATGGCAATCAATAAAAAATCCTCATTACTGTATTAATAAGTATACACTAGAGTTCAAGATTTAAATTAAGATTTTGTGAAATGTTGCGTATAATTTAATCCTTAGAAATAGGTGGTGTAACGTCCTCTTAAGGTGATTAATAATTTTATATTTATTGTTATTTTTGTAGTCATTAATGATATTACTTTGTTATTGGAAAAATTATATTTGTATAGTCATGTTGGAGATAATTAGTGACTTAAAGAGAAAGTATTATCTTGATACTATTGAAAACTTGATGATCTTTTTATAAATAATAAATTAATACAATAATTAAGGTCGCAGTGTTAAGTTAAACAAGTCTGTATGACTAAATGTCCAAAATTAAGTTAAACAAAAATGTATGAAATTTAAAAATAAGTGGGCCAATAGTTTTGAAATTAATGGATGGAGGAGAAGGAGAAGTGATAATTTAAACTCAATATTCGTATATTAAAAATAATAATTTTCTTTAAAATGAATGAATAAACTAAATATCCAATTATTTTTCAGTGATGGTGACAATTTATTTTGTTTTAAAATACATTTCTTGTCTCGAACCCGGCCGGTTTTATTTGGAGCATTATCTACTGCAGAAAGGCGGGTATGGATGCAAAAGTTTCTAGAATCAGTAACTTGTCTATTTCCCCTAAAAATGTCTTCTGAATTTAGCAGAGCTGGACGTGCAGTGTTAAAAGTAAGTTAGAAATCAATTTAAGCTTAGTGATTTGTATGATTGTATACTAATACTAATGTATTAGTTACTTTTATTAATAACATATAATTTTAGGAAGGTATAAATGGAGAATGGAAACCATCTTGGATTCTATTACATAATAGGATGCTTGCTTGTACAAAAAAAGGTTCTGAGCCAGAATTAGTTGACCTAAGAAAAGTCAGAAACGTCGGTTAGTATGTTAAATGTACTAACTAATTTTTAGATTGGTCATATTAAGGTTTTTTAGTATTAAACAAATTTACATTTTTAGCGATACAAGAAGATAACGAGTTAGAATGTAATATTTTAGCTTTGGATTATGTAACAAAATCAATTTATATGCAGTTTGATGAAGAGCCGGAAGTTGTATTATGGCAAGAGACTATAAAAGCAGAGACGGTTAACTCTAGTCCATTTTTAAAAGATCAACAATTGAATAAAGATCAAGTCCCCGTAGTTGTTGATAAATGTGTCAACTTTATTTATGCTCATGGTATGTTAATATTGCAGTATAAAACTTTTAAAAATAGTAGTGACATACAACTGATTATCCCTTTCTAAAATATCAGTTTTCTTTTCTTTTTTCTTCTATAGCTGATATTTTTACTTAATAATACTTATAAAGACTCGGTATTTAGCTTTTTTAAAGAGTGGGATTTTCCTTACATGTTGATGTTAAACAGAATTCAAAATGAAGTTTAAATCACTAAATATGTTTATCACTTTTAAAATAAGTTTATAAGTATTAAATTGTATTATTATTATTAAAAAAAAAAAATGTTTTTATATATCTTTAAAATATTTGCAGTAATTGGCGTAAACCCTTTCAAAAATGTATTGTAATTGATTAAACTATAACAAAGGAAATGATACAAATATAATAGTTCACATTGTCTAATTAGTAGACAAAGAAAACGTAACCATTTAATTGAAATGTCAATTAATAATTAACACTTAACACTTCAAGGACTAAAACGTTATTTAATTTAAATAGATAGGGAAAAGAAATGTTAAGTTGTCAATGATAATTCAAACAAGTATTTTAGCATTGCGAAGCTGAGAAAATATTATTATTACAATGATGTTTTATTTTTTATTTTTGTATCTGGCCCTGTGAACACTGGACTACCTTACTGTCTTACTACTACTACTACTCACTTACGTATAACACTTTTTTACTGTGCTGGTTTAAACTGTGCTTGGTTTGGACTGTACTGGTTTTTACTTACTATTCACAGATTCACTTCAAAGCGTTTATTTAAAAGTGATTTTTTGACTTTCAGTTATAATAATTCCTGTAGACCTGTGACCTCCCCTTTCTCCCTATTGTCCGACTCCATTGTACTGGCTTTTGTTTAGTTTCATAAAAAGTTTTTATACATTTTTTAACTACTGCTAATATTTTATTATGACAAAATAACAAATTTGAAAACTGTAGTTTATGCATTAAATTAGATAAACTATGTTTATATTAATATAATTAAAAACAAATACAACTATGCAATTAAACTTAATAATAGTGATAAATATAGTTTCATTAAATAGGCAGTTTAGATTATTTAACTACAATGATTTAACGATTTTAAATACTTTTAAATTGACAGGTTGTCTATCAGAAGGAGTGTACAGGCGAAGTGGGTCTTGTTCAAATGCCACCAAACTTTTGTCTGAATTCAGAAAAAATGCATGGACCGTACAACTAAGCCATCAAGATTATTCAGAATATGATGTTGCTAGTGTTTTAAAGCGATTTTTCCGAGATTTACCAGAACCATTACTCACAACTGAATTTCATACACATTTTTGTAACGCTGCTAAATTAAACTGTTCAGAAGATGAAAAAATTATACTTTATAGGAGTTTGTTAGAAAGGCTATCGCCTATAAATTATGTCACCGTACGCAAACTTATGGGCCATTTATATTACATTCAACAACAAAGTGATAAAAACTTAATGACTGTACAAAACTTAGCTTCAATATGGGGTCCAACGCTGATGCATATAGAAGTGTGTTATTACTATTATTATAAACTTATTTCTTTTTTAAGAAAAATGTAAAATATATCTCCTATTTTAGGATAATGATTCACAGAATTGGTCAAAAAACGAATCTGAAGTCATCAGTGATTTAATTATGTTGTATCCTAAATTGTTTCTTGTGGAAGACGATGAAATAAAACGGGAAGATAGAATTTTAGAAGCACTAAAAAATTACCATCTGGCTAGTGGAAACATTATAAAATCTTCAAAACCATCTGGAGATTTAAAAATTTGGATATATCTTGGTTCCAAGGATAGTGGAAATTGTGTTAACGTGACTGTAAGGAATTTTAAAACATATTTAAACATTTTTACTTATTAGAAACGTGTTTAATTTCAGTTGAGTCCGAGTAAAACAGCTGAAATGGTATGTGAAGAACTAGCCAATAAAATGGGTGTCTGTGTAGGATATTTGCTTGGATTACAAGAAGTCGTTTGTAATGGATTATTAATTCGACCAATTCATCATTCAGAATTTTTATTAGACATTGTATTACGCTGGGCGTATTGGGATTTAAAATATAGACGAGAAAACTATATTGTTTGTCTTCAACCAAATTCATTACTTGTTGAGATTATACCTTTTGTAAGTACTTGAATGATTTATAAAACTATATTTATTTTCTTATCTATTAAAATATATACTTTGTTGTAGGCAAAAGAACCTGTAACTATATCAACAGAATTAAAGTTCGCAGATCAAAAAAACAAATCATTTAAATCTCATTTATTTGAAATCAATGAAGGAAAATTAATTTGTTACAAAGATAAATCTGTAATTATTTTTTATAGTTTACATATTTGTAGTTATAATTGTACAACAAACAATTTAATAGTTTGTAATTTTATAGGGTTCAGTGGTTTTGCATGAATGGTCAGTAAAAGATTTAATTTGGTACATTGGATTTGAACCAAAGCGAAATCCTCACTCTAGGTATATTAATTGTGATAATTAAATGTATAATGATTAATATTAATTAATGTATAATAATTTGCATGTATTATCTGTTCTGTAGGTGGTGCATAACATTTATATTAAAAGATGACCCACCTAAAGAGTAAGTAAAATGTTATACCTTATTAGTATATTAATATAGTACTTTTAAACATAGGTGTTAGTTTAAAGATAACCTCTCATTTTCCTTTAAATAGTTCATGAAACCCAATCGTAAATATTAACAGCGGGGTACTTAGTTATAGAATAGTCAGACAGCAACCAAGATGGTTGTACCCATGATCTCATAGCTACAAATCTTGTTTTGCTTATTTGTTTTTTTTTCTAAACATGTCCAACATTTTTAAATATATTCTTAATGGTTCTTTTTTCTTTTTTATATAATAATTAGCTTAAGAGAAAATTTTGGCTTGTCTATTGCCGGAACAACAAAAGAAGATCATCTAAGATGGATGGCAGCCTTGTTAATAGCTGAATATGGGGTTAATAACATTTTACCCCCAGTGTCTGTAAATTTACTCGATTAAAAATATGTTTAAACAGTTAGTTAATGTGATAAAAATTGTTTTTACTTAAACAGTACTTAAGTAAAAATTTTAATTGTAACTATTTTTAGTTTTTATTAACAAAAATTTGGTTTTTAATTTTATTATCATTAAATATTATATAATATTATGTTATTGTTCAGATTGAGTTTTATTTAATTTTAACAATTTGTATACGCAAATAAAATATGGTAATATTTTATTTATTATAATTAATTTTTTGTTAGTTGTTAAATGTTATTAATATAATAGCTGTATATTTTTCTTGAATTTAGCAAAAAAAAAAAAAATAGTCATGTTACCCAATGTAATAAGATCTCGTTATACAATGATACACACAAGATAATTTAGGGGTAGCAAATGCTATACCCAAATTTGTATTTATGTGTCTGTATATTCATAAAAATAACTATTGTGTGACAAATTTATTTTGCCACCTAAATTTCAAGTGTGTGCCATTGCTTATATAGTCTATGTAATTAATCTTGCCTTATCAATTTTTAACAAATTATATTTTTAAAACAATTTAACAGTAATTTTAATTCCCAATTATGAAATGCTAGTCAAACATTAGGTTATTTCAGTTAAACTATCATTATTTTTATTTTATTAATATTTTATACAAGTTTACATACAAATATCAAAAATACCCTAACGGCCAAACAGGAGTACTTTAGATACTTAATAAGACCAATGTAAAAACTATTAATACACCTTATTTTAATTTATACATATTTGTTCAACTAAAATAAATAACATTGTATTCAAAATTAAAGTAGTAATTGTGGATTTATTATAAAAACAAAACTGCTAGTTTTTTTTTATTCATAGTTTATTTTTGTATTCAATAGACTCAGATGTATGTGTATCTTTGGAGTAATTTGTATTAACTGTCAAGTATTATATTGTGAAAACATAAATAATTATGAATTATATAGTATAATTTCTTACTTTTTTAACTCAATTTAATAAGTTGGAAATTTATTTATTTTTGGAACTAATATTTGTATACCAATTCATAACTATTTTATTTAACTATTTATACATCCAAATATATATTTATGTGTAATATTATGTTTATTTGTGTTGATCTTAATATCGAAATATTCAATAGTTATTTATTCAATTTTATTATTGATACTATGTTTAAAGTTAAAGTAAATTTTATGCTAAATAATATATAATGGATATTAATAATAACAGACCATATTATATTTATTGACAGTTTTTTTTGTTACAATAAGTGAAAACTATTAAGTTTTTATTTATTAATAAATAATGAAATTAAGTTATTTTCCCTTTTTGATACCATATGGGGTTTGGCTTATCAAATACCCGGTAAATAAAATCAAAACTACACAAAAAAAACCTAGTCGGAACAATTGGACAAGTCGCAAAATGCCACTGACTTATGCGTAGTGGTGATTTGAACTTCAAAAATTATTAAGTATGTTCATAGTCCGTGGGACAAACTAACTTCCAAGTTGGGGATCTAAGTGACGAATTGTGACTAAGTGATCGAAAAGACCTAACATAATAGGTAATCAGTATTTTATTCGCATGACAAATTGATGACAATTTTTCAACATTTAAATAATTCTAGACGTTACTAAATGTTTAAAATGCTTTTTAACCAAAATAACGCGTTATTAGCATTTAGCAAAATGTATAACGGTTTTATGATCAAACTATTAGAAAATGCGTATAATTTCAACCATTTTTTTGTATTTGAAATAGGTATGTCAACTTTTGTGGAGAAAAGTCATGTCTTGAACGATATTACATGACATACACACATCTCTAAATGTGATTGAGGTGGGTTTTTACCCTTGCAGCAAAAGGAAAGAAGTAGTTTTTGAACCACAACTAGAGTCATTTTTGTTGAAATAAAAAAAAGACTACAATTTCAGATTTATAGAAAATAAAGCTGTTAAGCCGGCTCATAACTGTTAAACAACCTACTCAACACTTGGTTTTTTTCAAGCACATGTAAATAAAAATTTAGTTTTAGTTCAATAAGATTTGAAAATAATTGTTGTTAATTCATTTTTATCTTAGAAATTAAATAATATATTATGTGCAAATGTTAAATCATAAATTAAGTATTTCATTCATAATAATTATAAAAATGTCAAAACGCGACCAACCGAGTGGGGGGAGGTGCCGTTCCTAAAAATTCGCCCCTGATGGCTGATTTGTGACTATAATTTTAAAATAATTATGCACGATTTTATTGTTGACTTATCTTCGATATTATAACTATTAAATATTAAATGGTTGTTTGGAGTGACTATGGCTGGAAAGAGCAATTTTTTATTTTTGTTAGGTACACTAAGAGCAGCGTTCTTTGGAAGTCTCATATTCGTTAATTTGTCAAAGTCTTAACGGGTTGATCTGAGGAGGTTATCCAGTTGGAAATTGTAATTGAAAATCGTAGAGGACTATAAAATATTATGCACTTAAGAAAATACCACCTACCATTCTTCGAGCCAGGGTCCATATTTTATATGTTTTAGCATTTAGAACAAAAAAAATATATATATTAACGCCAGACGCCTAGACCACGAATCGCTGGCGCTGTAATGCTGAGACAGCTGAACATGCCGTTTGGATTCCTTACAAATTCCGTAAGAGCGCGTTGTGTAAACCAATTGCGATTAGACAAAATGTTAAGAATTCAATTTAAAGATATTTTACAAAGGACCGCAAAGGTTTAAGTGTCAAAACTTGCTCAGATGATTCCAGAATCTAGGGATTTTTTATTCAAAAATGTAGTGTAACAATTTTTTGAATTGTTGGAAAATTTATAATTGTTTTTTTAAATTACCCAAAACTTATCAGAAATCATTGACAACTTCAAAACTATGTCGATGTCGGGATAAATCCGATTTGATTAATCGTAAGAACATTCAATTTTCATATTTATTTTTTTAAGTAATAAGTTGCTATCTTCAGTCGACATACGGCGTTTACGTTTTAAAAGTATATTTTATTGCGGTTAAAGTTTTTCTTATAATTATATAACATTTTTTTTTTTTTTTTTTGTAATAGCCTTTATTAATAAACAATATTTGGCTCAACAATTAACTCATATTTAATTTGACCATTCAATTTTCAGTGTTTTCTATTTTTTAAAATTTTTTTTTGCGTTTATAGAAGTTGCTTCTTTTTTATAATGCAATATATAGCATTAAGCTAAAATTTGCATACTTTAAAAATTTGGAGTTACGCCACTTTTACAATAAACAACCCATATATGTGTAACATATTATCAATTAATAATATGATAATGAATTTTTTTTGAAGGGGAGTGGTCTTAATCTATTTTTTAAAAATTTGTCCCTCTGTCGTAAACGTAAATAGTTTTAAACTTCAAATAGAAGTTTGCTAGTAAGCTTTTTTTAAGGTTTAACCAAATCCGATAGGCACATTTTACCCGAATTTGATTCAGGGACGTTCTTATTATATATGTTTTAATTTTTATGTGGACGTATAACACTGAAAACAACTTTTACTCAACCGTGTGTGTGCTTAAAAACAACTAATTATACAATTAATTTTCAACATTTTTTGTACTTCTAGAAATGCAAACTTTAAATTGTATAATTGATAATCAGAAAACTACGGTGTACTACATATGGAACTATCCATATTTGCCGATACTGTACTAAAAGGATAGCGTTTTTAAATATTTAGATTTCTAGATCCTTTAAAGAAGTTGTATTATTAAAAACGAATTTAAGCTTTATAGTTTATTGTTTAGCATTCGTGTGTAGTATCAGAATATATAAAAATATTGTATTCACAAAATTATCGATTTATCTTCTTCTTTTTTCTTACGGCTTTTTAGACCAAACATCCAAAGACAATTATTGTCTCCAACCCTTTCGATTTTTCGGTAGTGTATGCCAATCTGTATCCGGTTGGAAATCTTCAACACCTCTCTTGCCACAGTCCTCTTCATCAAAGCGTCTGGTTTCTTCCACACGCGTCCTGCCCATACAAGTCTTTTTATTTTAATCTCGTTTACTATACATCCGGTCTATTGTATAGGTCTCTTAGCTCATCGTTGTGTCTCTTTCGTCATTCCCCGTTTGCGGATCGAGGTATGGTCAATATAATATCCTCCTCGGTCTTCCTTAAAGTACAATTTTGTGACCCATACATTGCTATCGATCTTATCAACTTGATATATAGTCGGCCTTTATTATTCTTTGAGATATATATATATATATATATATATATATAGATTTTTTTTTATTCTTTCCCATAGATCAATCATCAATACGACCTAAAACCAGTATGTCTGAATTCACCTACTGTACGACCGTAATACTATATAGTAATACGTTTGCCGCGGTAAAAACTAAAAACGTCAACGTACCTTCCAACTACATTTCCCAAAACGCCATTAGGGGTACTCAGCTGTGTATTTTCAAAAGCGGATTTAGCCTGGCTCATTCTCGACGGCTGCAAAGCTTTTAGCTTGTACCGCACAAATACATGTATACAAGTTTATCGGACTTTTTGCAAAGCCTCTTAATTCACGCACGATGAACTCTCCGTGTGTATATATACCAGTCAATTTTTTTCTTTTATACATGTGCATGTACATACACATACATATATATATATATAAACACACTAGCCGATTTCTGGTTGCTGACCCTCTAGGGACCGCCGACAGCCCTCCCTGTATGTATATCGATAGCAGCTGCCATTGTTCCCGCATTACTCCTGAGGGCACACCTCGCCTACCCCCGTCCCGCGTACACTGCTTTATTGTTATTATAACGATACTTTATTGTGTTTAAATATTTGGGTTAGGATTCTATTAAACCCGTATATTATACGCGTATGTGTGTGTAGTAGCGGCGCGGGAGGTACCGCGGAACTCGTTAAAACTTCGATTAATATTTATTACGAGGCCAACCCACCTCGGATATTGTTTACAAGTTTTTTTTAACAAGTTAAAAGGGTTTAAAGAACGTCGCGACGAGAAGAAATCGTCTGCTATAGCATATCGTCGTTCGTTAGGCTTTAACAAATAAAAAACACTATGGTTTATAATAAGTAATAACGCGCATCGTATGAATTATCATTTACATCATGCAATACACGATATAGATTATAGAAGGTAGATAAACTACGAATAATACTGAAAATCCGTTTTAATGATTAGTAATTTTTTATTAATATATAATTTTGAATTTAGGGGGTCACGGGTTGAGACCCGAGTGTCTTGCGAGAATATGTTTAGGAGGTGGCTTGTACACGAAAAAAATGTAATCATAGTTAGATCAACTATAATTATGGTTAATATGACAGCGGGCACAGTAAAATTTTCATTTATAATTGTAATAACTAAATAAAAAGTTAGGCACACTAAATGTTTAGTTAAAGTAACTATACATTTAGTTGCGGCTTAACTATTTATTTAGTTATTCCAATCATAAGTTTTATTGTGTCCTTTTTATACTATATTTTTCTCGTTTAACAGATCTTTGGGGTATGCCAGTCGTAATTACCAGCAGTTTAGTGGCAAGTCTGTAATGTCAAAGAAAAGCTTAGTGGTTAAAAACTATTGTTGCCTCCTTATCAAGCAATTTTATCTTGTCAAAGTAGAGAAAATTTACAAGAAAATGTAGTCTTGTTATTATGTAGTCGAACAAATTAGTGTTATTAATTTGTTACTGAATTAATATTAAGCTTTTAACGTCTTAAATGGCTACACGTGTCTATATATCTTATACTATACGCGCTAGAATAAAATGTTAGTGTTTTCAAAGAAATATCTGATCGCAATAAATGCAAATGGACTACGACAACACCCTCAACACAATTACTAATAAATGAAAACATGTTTTCATCATTCACCCCTTTGGGTTACTTAGTTAATTCATAGAGTGGCATAATTTCTTTTGATCGTTATTTTAGCCGAAATCCAATTTGTTCGGTGTACGCTGTATAATGATATGCGAGAAGAAGCCACTATTGATGATGTGTTTTAGCTCGGCGTGTCTATTA